AGCGCCAATTCTCCCGGCCACTCTCGGCCACTGGCCTCGTTGTCGCCGTGGATGACATCCAAAATTGGGGCCACGGCTTTTGTTGGGTCTCCCCGTTGCTTGCCGTGAGCATTGCGGAAGTTTGCGAACGAAGCAGCCGTCAGGTCTCGATACTCTAGAATGTTGGTCTCAACAAATGTGCTGTTCCGCGGGTTCAGGAGATCTGTACGGAATTGGCCGGGTTCGACCAAAAGGGTTCTTATGCCTGTGCCGGCGTTCTCTTGGCCAAGCGCCTCGGTGAAATCTGGAACGCAAAATATGAATGTCTATTCGTGGTCAGCAGGGGTGGGGTCTCAGCTCACATCGAAAAGCCGCCTTGGAAGCACTATAGGCACCCACACCCTGGTACGTCTCCCATGCACAGAGGGAACCGATGTTGACGATCGTTCCCGCACGGCGACGACGAAAATGTGGCAGCAGAGCACGAGTGAGACCTATGGGCCCAAATACATTTGTCTGGAACTCCCTGAGGCATTCCTCGTAGCTACTCGGGCGGTCAACAAGGCACTTTTTATCTACCCCGAATCAAACCATACCTGAGATCTTCTACCGCTCCGAAGAGTGTGTAGCCCGCATTGTTCACCAGTATATCGACGCTGCCATAAATCGCAAGAGCTGCTGTTGCTGTTCTAATCAATTCCTCCTGCGATGCTGTCACATCAAGTGTGAGCGTAGCTGCGCCGAGCTCTTGCAGAGGGGCGAGCTTGGCAATATCGCGGGCAAGCGCGATAACTTTATGGCTTCGGTAGAGTGCCTGGCGGGCGATTCGTAACCGAGTCCCGACGAGCAACCGGTAATGAGATAGATTTGAGACATGATTGACACTTCGAAATTCAAAAAATGAAGTTATGTACCATTCATGACTATCAAGCATCCAGAAGGATATGCGTGGTGGTCGCTTGCCATGGTGTTGCCGAGTCCGAAGAATTTCGGGCAACGATTGCGATCGACGTCAAGTGGCAGCGGCTTCGCCACAAGTCCTCCGACAGATCTCGGGGATCTACGAAATGAGGTTTCATCTCAGAAACTTGCAGCTACGTCATTTGACAGGGTCAGTCTGATGGAGTATTCAGAACAGTCTATATTTTATTTTGTCTATCCAGGACAGTTTCATCTATACTAATTGATATCTATCCAGCGACCCTCCGGTCTCTCTCTAGGAGAGATCAAGAAAGCTGCAAAGCCCAGGCGATCTTTAACTATCCGCTGTAATCGATGGTAACGGCCAAGCGGACCGCGCCGCTCGACAGGTTTCCTCCAATACCACCCACGGCACTCTCGGCGGACGTGTAGGCGTTATCAACGGTACCGGCATCGGTGGTGATTGAGGAGCAGGTACCGCCCAGAGCATCGCAGATCTTCATGCCTTGGACGGTCATGCTGGCATCCTGGGCCTGGATGGCGCTGACATCGAATCCGGACCAGCCGTTGTTGGCATCGGAACCAAAGTCGAACTCACCCCAGGTGCACGCATAGCCACCATAGCTGTCGGTGGGGAGACTGCTGCCCGCAGCGGCACCGAAGCCACCATTGGAGTTCTCCATGAAAGCGACGTACTTAGTCTCGCCGGCGGCCAGAGTGAGGCTGAGAGCAGAGTAGCCGTACCAGCCATCCATAGAGCCGTTGGGGCCGTACTTGTTCCAGAAGACGACGGTCCAGTCTTCAGTGTTTTGGCCCGAGATCTGCATCACATACTCGTACGAGGAAGCCTCGTCGGCTGAAACCTCGATCATGTTGCTGCCCCAAGGGTTGCCGACGTTGCCTTCGTATGTGTTGCCAGAGCTGTAGGAGGCGGTGCTGGCACCGAAGCCAGAGGTGGAGTAGCTTCCACTAGCCGGAGTGGCGGTCCAGTCGGAGGAGACCGAAGAGGACGAAGTGGCGGAGGAAACGACGGAGGTGGTGGAGGAAGCACCCCAGTTCCATTGGCGACGCTCGTTGCCCTGGGGCACAGCGAGGGTGCGGGTGCTGAGGGCGCCCAGCAAGAAAAGAGAGCGGGTGATGAACTGCATCCTGACTGACAGTATGAAGACAGTGAGTGTGGACTTTTGAGTTAGAGAACGTTCCTACGCGTCAAGCGAGGACTATATCCGAATGAAGTCGGAAAGAAGGAAAGGCTGTCGATACAATCAAGTATCGACGACAATTGAAAGAGAATGTGAGTTACGATTGTAACTAAACAAAAAGACTAAACGAAAAGACTGAACGAAAAGACCTGATGTCTTTACTGAAATGAGAGTGACTGATGAACGAGTAGGTGCACAAGAAGGAGGGCATCGGCCCTTCTAAATAGCCTGCTTGAATCGACCCTGTGGGCCCCTCATCCGCATCCCCTTGGGTAAGGCTCTGGTCTAGACAATTGGGTTTAGAACGCCGAGAAAGGAGACTGTGCCACCCAGAGTGGGAACGGGTAAAAGAAGAGAGAAAGGGCAAGGGTGACGAGCGAATGCGTCAGCTTCAATCGATTCAGGAACCATGGAGAGGATCAGAGGCAGTGACAAGCACAGGAAGCCGATTGGCTGTGGGGCAGAAAGCTGGGGACAAAAACGCTATGAGCATGAATGGCCACGCAGGATGGACAGCGTGGATTTAGTTAGGGTTGGAAAGACTCGACGATGTGGGGAAAAGACTGGAACAGTTACAGAGGTCTATTTGTGAAGGAAGACAGCAGCGGTATGTATTACCTCTCTTCTCATTTCTATTTGCCGTGCCACAAACATGGCGGACAATCAACCTTGCGAGGATAGGCATCTTGAGACAATACCAAGAAGATGCCTTTGTATGCACCGCCTGCTTCCCTTGAAAGAAGACGCGAAGCCGAATGAGAGCCAGGAGCGGGTCCGAGTACAGATTCTTCTACTGGCGCTAGTCAGAAGAAGATTGGGAAGTAGACTGGGGCACGAGAGCAATGTATTATTCAAGAGGATTCGCATGGACTGTGGGCTCGGGGACTTTGCTGCCAGTGGGGACTCAAGTTTCCACTTTTTATCTGTCTTTCTGGCCTCTGCTGCTGCTTGACAGCTGTTTGTTTTTTCCAGCTAGGCGAGGTCTTTTCGCTCGATTCCTCGAGGTCACAGGTCGCTCTTCTTCGCCCTAGTTCGTCCTTTTGTCATCCCTGTAGATGACAAAAAGAGCCCTCCCGTCGCACTGTTTCTACAATGTGCTTTCCAGACCTAAAAAAAAAGCGCACTTCACCCAGATGCCCTCGAAGACCAACAAAGCGCAAGCAGAACATTGCAGCCACGGCTCAAGACTCTCGGCCAGGGACCGCTGCTCCACTTTTCTCTGTGGACTAGGCCCAACATGTGCATCTCCGCTGACTCATCTAAAAGAGCTTCTTCAAGACTGACCAATGGTGGTACAATCCGTAGTTGATATTTGCCCGGGTCAAGCGCTCACAAAGCTGATTGGTGACTCTGCAACCACGGACGAGATGATTATATTACCTGTTCAGGCCAAGATGCAAGCCCCGATCCATTGGGACCGGCCCTTCTCCCAGCACAAAATTCGCACTCCTACCATACCACTGCACCTCCGGCAATGGGGCTTTTAGGGTAACCGCGACGCATGGAATGGTCGGTGTGCGCGTACCTGACGATGAGCCAGAGATTGCACCTCGTCCCAGCCAGCGGATTTCCAGTCGGTTACTTCCATCTGGTCCACGCCTTTGACCATAATTTACTTCCTTGGACCAATGTTTGATTTTTCCCGAAAGAGAAAGAGAATAAGGAAAGGATACCGAAGGGGAGAGCCTTTGGGGCTACTGATTCCATGCTATAGGGCAAGAGTTTTAGGGCAGCATGCACACACTACACTGCATGCAATCCACTGAGACTGGCTGGATTCCTTTTGTCAAGTGGGACACAGTGCAGTACCTCCTCCACTTTTAACTCAGGCCCTGCGAATGAGACTTTGACGGGATTGGCGTGCCCTAACGGGGTACTTGCACAGCAGGCAAGTTTGTGCTATGTGTCCGCTCCACCACCTTCTCAAGGTTCTAGACTTTGACTTTGCGCATCACGCAGGATCTTACGAAGACAATCTAGCCACCGGAGTTCAACTCGTTCAGAAAATAAACGCGCCGGCATTGAGGTCCTGCTCCATGTGCCCGTGACTGAGGGTTACCTAGATAGTTCAAGCCATTTGTCGACTCGTTATAAGCAAGCGTTGAGTCGCTTGGAGCGACAGCGCGTCACGCGGGCTTTTGTCGGGAACCGTCCACAACCTTACCCTGGACCCTTGTGCCCCCGCCCGCGAGTTTGACCTACGACGACAGATCCAGTAGAGTCAATCAAGTGATCATTTGATCTCATCAAGGTCAATGCCCGACTGTAGTGGTATGTGAAGCCTCGCTATAATAAACTAATAGGGAACGCCACTTTCGTTCGCTATACCGAGATATTCGTTATACGGGGGTCACTTTATATGAAAACGGCTGAAAAGACCCGAAAAACCAGTTCGTTCTATGGAGGAATTCGTTATAGCGAGTTTCGGTATCAAGAGGATCCACAGTATCCCAGTTCCTTTCCTCGCCACGCGAACTTGGAAGTCGAACTCGACCATCCAATGCAGTACCCATCTTGTCAAAGTGACAGCCATTTTGACTTTGTGTTATCAAGGCTCGGGTTAATGGGGGCGAGTTAAATGCTTACAAAGAGTGGCCATCGTTGATTTATGAAGCCGAAGTGCAGGATTCGGTTCCGCTGTTATCCGACAGACTGAGCTTGCTGGCCTGCGGAGTGGGTTTATGTGGTCAGGAGAGGGTCAATCGATGCTTTATCGGCTCTTGTGATCGGGGCCTGTCTCTTTACAGTCGAGTGCATTGGCGACTTGGTCCGGTGTCTTGTCAAGGTGGCAGATAAACTGCAGTATGGGCAAGGGTTCAAGCTTCTATTTTTTACTTGCAGCTGCAATCGCGATATAGCTTCTACAACGCAATTTCACTTCTGCTTCCAAGTGTATCTGCGCTTGAATCTCGGTGAGCTCAGATCCGAGGCTTGCATCGCATCCATGTTGTTCCTACATATCATCCTTCCCTACTCCGACCCAAAAGAAATCTTTCTCAAAGAGCATGCATTAAACCTGAGAAGCTCGAAGAAAACACGGCCCATACCCATACACTGTATAAACTCCCGACCTTACTCCCTCTGCAACAACACCAACACCCCCATCACTCCCAGCATAGCCGTCTTCAACCACGGATGCTCCGACAGAAGAATGGTCACGTACCCGACAAACGGAATGTACCCAAACACACTGCCAACGACATCATCGCGGTCGAGGTAATCCTGCCCACGCGCGTAGAGTTCCGTATCATCGGCGATGTTGTTGTCACCCTTTGTGAGAAGTTTCGAGTTGGATCTGCGCACATTCACACCCCGAATTAGCCTGATGCCTTTGATTTTCACCTCATCTCAACCTCCACCCTGCTGCATCCTGTATCATGGATGCATATACCTTCCCACCCAGAAATCAAAGCAGAGAACGAAAAGAAAACAAAGGACGAAACCCACTCATCACCAAACTGTCGCACCACCCGATGTACGATCGGAATCTCCTTATCTTTCACCTGATACACCACGATCTCCCCCACGTTCAGCATGGGCTGGTTGTTCCGGAGGAAGAGGAGGTCGCCGCGCTGAAAGGCCGGCTCCATTGAGCCGCTGAGGACGACGACGATCGGGCTGGGGGAGTTGGTGAGCACGGAGAGACCTTTCCACATCTGTTTGGTTTTGGGTGGTCGCCGTCGTCAGCAAAAAAGCCCCCTATTGTCAATTGTTGTAGGGTAGATCCATAATCAAGCTGCTGCGGTTCGCGCGCAGCTAGCTAGCTGCGACCGACCCTTGCGAAAACCCGCGCGCGGGAAACGTACCATAAAGGCGGTGCTAAGCACCAGCCCGAAATTCAGGATCTGGGCGGCGGTTTGCCGGACATTTTGAATGCCGGAGAGCATGATTGCCGTGGGGCGTTGAGGTCTCGTGTGTAGAGGCTAGGGGTGAGGGGTGGTCGTGATGTGGGTGGACTTTTTCTCCCCCCCGATATATTTGATGTTGATTTGGCTAACAGGTGGCCTTCTTTGTTGATAGCGCGGGCGGGCGGGTGCCGATGATGTTGATTTGCATGTGTCAGCAGCGGCGCGGCGGCTTCGCCGGGCTTGGTCATGTGATTGGACTCTTCCGGATATGGTTTAGAGGTTTAGAGGGAATGCTGGCTGTGCTATTCGTTTCGGGGTATCTTACGGGGCTTTTCTCAGCTTATATGAACAGTGCTGAGTGCATGAAGATTACGATGTTGAAGACTGAGATTTTTTGGTGCATATTGGAAGAAATTGAAGCCTCGTTAACTAGTATGTTCAGCTATATGGCGCATGCAGATAAATGGAAAGACACTTAGCATCCCATATGCCGGGTTTGAAAACCAAGAAGTTTACCCGCAGCAGGGTAATAAGGAGCAGCAATCTCCTACCTATGGACGGGATTTTCCTAAATGCCCCTGAGAAAGATGGTAGTCACTCATGATGTTAATATATAGTACCTCCACCCGACTCCTCTGATATGTGACAGTCCGGAATTTATAGCATGTAAAAGCAATTCGCCCATACCATCTTCCTCAGTGCGTACGCATACACCAGTATCACCAGCTCCTCCGTGAGAAAGAGCAGGCAGGTTATCCTAGGGGTTGAGAATAACACGAATGCATTGTCACGCCATATGTAGGTGGAGGGATATACCACTTTCTCTAGTCCAGTTACTAGATATTCTGCCATTGTCTCGGCTATTGGCTTCTTCCCTGGCCCAACGGCACTCACCTTCAATGAAGCATTATTACCGACTGGTTGTACTATTAACCCATCATTCTTCTGTTTACTTATCAATAAACAATGGAGTTGATTGTTATACCCGATCTGCTTAGTTCAACAATACCCTGGAATGAATTATTCAATCAGCCAGCCCTTCGGTAGGCACAGTTATATGAAGCCCTGAGGAGAAAACAACTGCCACTCTCATCAATGCGCTGCCACATGAATTAGAGCTAAACAAGCTAGAGACTAGATCGGCGTGACCGAAACCTGCCCAATGACGCAGTCGGATGCGCCAAACAAGGCGAGCTGAAGAAGTGTCAAGCACGCTAAGCATGGCACGTGCGGGGCGCAGCTCTCTGGGTTGGCTTATCAGTTGCTGTCACTCGCCATCCGAGTCCAGACCAGCGTTTGCCGATCTTGCAATGCAAGCCGTGCCGATGACGGAGGTGGGAGCGATAGGCGAGAGGTAGGACGAAGCTCCCAGGCTTCCAACTAAGCTGAATCAACAAGTTAAGTAGGCTACCCTGCCACTGTCAGCCTGAGCCTTGCTCCTTTTCCCAGATCCCCCTCAATTGGATCAGACCTTCCTATATTCACTATCAGCAAGCATTTCACCGTCAAACTCTCCATAATGACCATCTCCCACTACGGCGTCTGGATCGGCCAGCCCACCCGCTACGAGGCTCAGACCGACGCCGAGGATCCCAAGTCCCCTCACATCTACCTCTATTTCAAGGATGACACTTCCTCCCGCAAGCAGCTTGAGGCCGCCATCAACGTCAAGTCCACCGATACGGATAGTCGCCTCGTCTACTGGTTCGACCGCAACTTCACCCACACCATCACCGAACAGCTTGGCAGCCTGGACCAGGGCTTCCACCTTCTCACCAGCTCCGTGCACAGCCAGTCGCGCCGGCGTCGCGAGGCTTCAACCAGCATCCAGGGGCTGGACTTTGTCCGCACCAAGGGGCTGGTGGACATTGATGCTGGCACGGTTCTCGGGGCGGACGGCGATCAAGACATCCTCGACCAGGTAGAACCCATCCTGACGGATGCGATCGACCAGAAGGCGACCATCTACATCTTCGGCTCCTCGTATGGCTCGGGGATCCACGATATCCACATGAACCAGGGCAGCGAGGGCTACACCAACGGGATCTATGAAGACGGGGCCCTGTTGTTCCGGTTCGATGATGGGCATTGGGAGGCGATCTTCTTGGCCTTTGCGTCCCAGAAGATCCCCACAGATGACAAGGGTGAGCCTGAGAGCGATAGCCAGTCGTTGGCTACGATTCTGGGTCAGTAGGCGCGGGGCTGGTTTCGGGGTGAGGGGCAATGAGGTGTTACGTGTGTCACATCACAGATTGATTTAATAGGTTGATCGTGCGCTTCGAAGATAGCATCAGTTTCAATATAATCCAATTTCAAGGCAAGCAAGAAATACAGTAAAGACTATCAGTGATCGGATAGGGCATCAGTAATTGACTAATCATCTCAAGAAGTGGAGGAGGTCTCGGTGTATCAACTGTGAAGACAGTCCATCAACGGCCCCTGCAGAAGCTTGTACATCAGTATCAACGTTCTAGTAAACAGAAAATAAGGTGCAGCCCACAGCACCAAAGCCACAGTGATCCGCTTATCCCTGCTGCATTCTCTCAAGGATCGTGTCCGTAAACGCCCAGAGGAGCGAGGAATAGTCCGAACAGAAGGTCAACCCCGTGTAAAAGGTGCTCCTTTGACCCTGCAGCGCATACAGCCGGCGATAGAATCCCGACTGGATGTCCTCCGGAGAAACCATCATGGTCGTCGGGGAATGATCCGCGAACGCGACGACCTCGGGCTCTCGGATCGAATACGTGCCTGCGGTCTTCATGCGAGCGAAATCCGACCCGATGAGCTGCTTGGCGTCCTCCGCGGTGAAATTCATCGGCCCCACGATCTTGGTGGTGGGGTGACCCGGCACCCCCATGTACTGGATCAGGGACTCAAAGGGCATCTCGGGAAGGAATCCCGGCCCCGTGCGGGGGTTGGTGTTGGTCACGTATCGGCCGTCCGGAATGCCGCTGTTGCTGGTCACCGCCACGTAGTAGTTGCGCCAGGACCACTTGCTGAAGAGGTCGCTCTCTTCGGAAGTGAGATCAAAGCCTCGGAGCTTCTCCACGGTTGGTGGGTGGGTCACAAGGAGCTGCCCGGCTTCGATGGTGTCCCGGGTGCCGTTGAGGTGCTGAACGGTGAGCGTGACGCCGGAGTCGGAGCGTTTGGCCTCGACAACTTTGGTCTGGTAACGCACGTTATGAAGAACTCTGGCCGCTGCCCGATACAACTCGTACATCCCCTTCTCCGGGGTGATGTACCCGCCGAGGACGGCGGAAATATGTGACACGCCGAAGTTCTGGAAGGTGTAAAGTGCCGGCATGTCGAGCATGTTCCCGACTCCGTGCGCCCAGAAGAACAGCATTGGTATCACGTCCTCGAGTGAGTTCTCTTCGATGAACTTTCGCAACGGGCGAAAGACGGCTTCCGGGACTGGATCCGGAAAATCGTAGAGGCCCTTGTCAAGGAAGGGGAACTTTCGAAGTGCCAATCGAAATCGGACGAGCGCAAGCAGGGACCGGACGAGGCCGACTGGCGACTCCGCCATTCGACCGGTGGTGAAGTCCACAAAGTCCTCTCCTTGGAAGCTGGGGAGGACACGGTGCCATTTGACCCCCAGGCGCGAGAAGAACTTTCTGCTGAGTTTGTCATCGAAGACACCCTGGACGCCGTAGTCGACGTGGCTACCGTTGGGGAGGTAGTAGGTTTCCGTGTGGCCACCGAGCTGGCTGTTCTGCTCGATCACCACCACCCGCTTTCCGCGATCCTGGAGGCGAACGGCGGCGTATGCGCCGGTGGCTCCGCCGCCTAGGATGCAGACATCGTATGGTTTCGTATGTCCTCTGGCAGTATTGATACTAGATGGAAGACCTGTCGCCAGGGGCAATAAGAGAAGTATGAGACTGTAGTCTAGCAAGATTGAGTAGATCATTGGGTTGATTTATCAATGACAATTGAATATGGTTCTTGCGGCTTGAAGAGCTCCGCCTGCGCAAGACGCATAACGCAAAAGTCTGTGACTCAGGAACACCGGGGAACACCTTTATAAGAGGCAGTCAGATGTATGTGAGCTAGAAAGCAAAAAGAAGAAGGGAAGAAAGGACAACCTGAACGCGTCAATCATGGGCATACACCGCCTGTCAGACAATTGATGACACAATCAACTCGACTTTTCCACAACTCCCACCAATTCCCCGAACAAGCGCTGGATTTCTTCCTTCTCTCCGGCCCAGAATCCTCCCTCTCCTCCCAACCCCAGATCCTCCCCCATCGCGGCGCGTGCCATGATCTCTTTCTCGGGGAATGTCAATCCCACAGTGCTCTCCAGGGGCACCATTCTCAATCCCTGCAGCACCTGCTGCAACTGCGCCGCGGCTTTGCCACCCCCATGACCGCCATAGCTGACAACCATCGCCGGCTTCCCCTTCCATTCATTGAAGAGGTAGTCGATCGCATTCTTAAGACTCGCAGGGTACCCCCAGTTGTACTGGGGTGTGACGAAGATGAATGAATCGTAGCGCGAAATCTCCCGCGACCAGGCCTTGGTGTGCTCGTGCATGTAACCCTCAGCTGATGTGATACGCGACGGGATCCCCGGCTCATTATATAGTGGCAGGCTCCACTCCGCGAGATCAATGACTGTGATGCTTGCTTGTGGATGTGCATGCTTGATGGTCTCGTGGATGAAGGTGCTTATTTGAAGGCCGGCACGGGGTGAACGTGTGCTGCATACGATGAGGCCGGTGGTTGGCATGGTTGATTCTGCTTTCTAGGATTTGTCGGGGGGGTGAGGTTGAAGGGTGTGCTTCGTTTGGAGGTACACAGAATGCCTCTTGGTGGGGTGAATTTGATTGTTTGTATGCTACAGATTCATCTAGGCTTGAGATTTCGTGATTTATATACCATTATACCCTTCTAGAGAATTTAGAGGTTTGTTTCCGATTTGGGAAGTAGAAGCCGCGGGGCCGCGGAGGTGCTCTGCCCGAAAGACCGACGGCTGGTCAATTTAGACTGGGCCTGTGCTCAACTACAGTGGGGATGGCTAACTTATCGGCTCGGGACTGAGGAGAGGTGTCCATTCCCCCTCCAACTCACCCGCTTCCACCAGCTTCCCTCCACCTTCGCCATGGCTTCTACCTTTTGTGCCCTAAGCTGAAACCTTCCTTTTCTCGGCTTATAGACAGATTGATGTGGCGGTACAGTACATATCCTTGGGAAACCTGACGTGATCGCATGATATACAGTGACTGACTCGGCTCATGATAGGTGATACAGGCATCACCCAGAAGAGCTGTACTCCCGGAGATGGGGCCCTGGTCCTAGTCACACGGAGCACGAAAGTGCCATCGGTCTGCCGGTCTCTATTATTCCAATGGCATTCCATGTATGGTTACACGTCCGCTTCCTTTTCAGTCAGATATACCTCAACGATCCTGTGACGAACCCCTTCGCCGGAATACGGCACTAAACTGCACCACGATTTCAAGTCTGCATGAGGTACGAGCAACCACCAAGCCAGCGGTTGACTTCGCACATCGAGCAAAGGCCAATGGGCAAAAAAAGAACCGATTAAGCCGAACGCGGGGGTTGAACCCGCAACCTTGAGATTAAGAGTCTCACGCTCTGCCGATTGAGCTAGCCCGGCTGGGGTGAAGGAAGAAAGAATCGGATTCTATAGCCGAACGCGGGGGTTGAACCCGCAACCTTGAGATTAAGAGTCTCACGCTCTGCCGATTGAGCTAGCCCGGCTTCCTTGGGTGCTCGATCAAGATTTATGACGCCAAGAGCGTGCGCTAAGGTTATCCGGCCCTGGCGGTGCGTGCGCTTGTTCACTAACCTTGGTGCTTGTTTCTATGTCCTCTTCGTAGACACGTCACCTAGATTCTAAGCGTGCTCTTACCCTTGTCAAGTGGCCTGGTCTTGCGGATAGATGAGTATGGCAGTGTAAAGGGTTAATTCCCGTGATTGTTGCGGCGCAATTGTGCTGTCTTGCGGCGGTATATATATCTAAGTAAATTGCGCGACATACCAGGACAGGTAAGCATGATAACTTAGAATGACAATGACAATAAGTGGTACATATGTAACAGACCGTCAACACACTGTATATCATACCAATAAGAAAGTCGAATTAAGAATATGTACATGTATATGTATGAATGTCTGATTATACCGTACGCCTGGGTCCACTCTTCGTATTGAAACAATACCCACTAGCTCAATCATCAGCCATGGAGAGCTTCATCAATAACCCACTGCATGCACCGCATGTACATGATAACCGTGACTCTTCGCCACCAGATCATCCCAGTTCTCGACGGTGTCCTTCATAACATCCGTCCCTGTAGAAAGGTCAGCACAAGTGAGCTCAAAGCCGGAATGATTTGGATACACACCCCACATGAAGTCTTGCCAACTGGGATCAGCCCAAAGATCGGGGTTCTTGCCCGAGCCTCGGATAGCCTCGTCTCGCTTGACCTGCACCTCCCCATCGGGCAGGTGCAGCGCCTTTCTCGTCACTGCGGCGCTCTTCTGGATGCGCTCGGCACGGTCCTTGCGTACCAGCTCATAGACTGCCAATGCCTTGGGAACCGACTCGGTCATGGACAGAGCGCACACAAGCACCCCAGCATCCTCGATTGCCTGCGCAGCACCCTGGGCCACATACGGCAGCATTGGGTGACACGCATCGCCCATCAAAACGCATTTGTTTTCCACCCACGAGGGGAGGGGGAAGTGCGAGTTCAGAGTCCACTCCATGACCTCGCCGTCCGGAACATAACTCAAGAGATTTCGGACCAAATTATTCCACTTGCTGTAGAAGGAGATCATCTCCTGCTTGTCGCCTTTGCTGGTCCAACTCTCTTCGTTGGAAGCCCCCGGCTTCTGCGGGTGGAGCAGTACCATGTTATACACGGTGTTATTCTTGATAGGGTACGCCATGATGTGTCCTCCAGGGCCCATCCAACGCATTCCGACGTTGTGGTTCAGAAGCTCCAGGGCGCGCTGGTCGCCCTGCAGCTTGTCTTTGGGGATCAGAATGCGGTACGCCGCATCACCGGTGGGCTCGCAGGTGTCTCTGACACCATGGTGGGATGCGATCTGATGGCGCAGATCGGACTTGATCCCGTCCGCAGCAATCACCACATCTCCAGAGATCCACTCGCCCGATTCGAGCTGAACGGTGGCTTCGAAGTCGTCAACCGCTCGGACGACCCGGGAACTGGTGCGCAACTCGATGTTCGCGTCCCGAACCCCGTCGAGAAGAATGCGCTGGAGATCCCCTCGATGGATTACTGCAAGTGGCGCATGGTATTTTTGACCGACCTACGATGCGTTTAGCAGGACAGGTAACCAATGTCATATTAGATGGAGGTGGTTTATACCTGAGGCATTAGAGGTGCAGTTCCAAGTTCCTCATTGTTGGCGTATCGGCGCAGGGAGTTCTGCTCCAGCACATTCGACTTCTCCATGACTTCGTCGAGAAGACCAAGCCGTCCCAGTATCCGCGCAGCATTCGGAGCAACTTGAATGCCTGCGCCCACCTCTGCGATCTCATGTACTCGTTCCAGGATCAGGACTTCATGTCCAGCCTTCTTCAAACCCAACGCAACCGTCAACCCGGCGATGCCGGCACCCACCACAATCACCTTAAAGGGGTGCTTTGCCTTGAAAGACCAGGAAAAGTCGTCTTGGAAACTGTCCATTATGGTGATACTTGTTTATTGATTCTGTTCAATGGGACCATGTTTGCGAACATATTCGTCGTCGCTTTTATATGCTACGCGTTGCGGTTGTATCTCGCGATGTCATTGATGACGACATGAATTTGGATGCGCTTGAGTCTATTGTGGGGCAGCCTCGACGAGCTATACCAAGCATGACGCGGGGTCTACGGGCACGGTTCTTCATCGCAGTAAAGATATCCATGGAAATCCAAGAATAAGTGAGAACCACCAGGCTCATGAACTGCTGAAAACGGCAGCAGGGAGTGGGGCCGCGAAGGGCCGGGACTGAGCTCGGCAGCTTCGCCGCGTTCCAATATCGGGCCGGGCTCAAGTGTCCATAGGTTGCAACGATCTTGCATGAGTCTGTTAGTATCGTATGGCAGCATAGAAGGCGAGTATGTCAATATATCAGATTATGCTTACCGCTTGGGTATGCCGAGGTGTTGTTGCCACCATAGCCCATTCATCCAATTGACTGTGGGGATCTTGCGCATCTGCGGAGTACGGAGCCCCTTGATGAGTGCTCAAAATTAGTCCCCAATTCCATGCTAATTCGGCATTGCACAAAATGATCTGTCACAAGAACAAGGCTCCAGAATCATGCCAGGCTAATCCCTTGACCAACTTGGCACAGATGAGCAAGGATGAGCGAGCATGACTCATGTGTCAGCCACGCCGCCGCCCATGCGCTTAGCGTTTCTTATCCGCCGGATAAGATCAGATCCCCACAGAGCATATCGAGATAAATACTTACCACCATGCCGCAAATGTTACCATGTCAACAAACCACAGCCTCAAAGAAGCTTCGAGCGCACAAGCAGAAAGATAATAAGCATCATCTGCCAAGCATCTTCCTCCTTTGAAAAGGTCTCAAAATATCCAAACCAATGCACGCTAACATTGCCACTACCTCCTTCCAAACCAACCATCTACTATCCACCATGGGATCCGATACTTTATACTCCCCACCAGTAGGGATGCACGCCATTCCCCACCACCTCTTAGATCTCCGTGACGACTCCCAGATCGACCACGACATCACCCATGCAAAGCCCGTGAGCAACGAGAAGAACATCTGGTTCTTTTGGACGAGCGGTTACCGGAACATGCATGCATACACCCAGCGCAACGTGCGGGCATGGCACCGCCGCCTTTCCAAGCTCGGCTGGACGATCCGCGTACTCGACTGCGACAACGTGCGCGAGTACCTCGACGTCACGGACCCGAGCCTCTTCCCGCGCGCCTTCGCCGACGGCACCATCGGCGGTACCTATGCGCCGCAGCACACGTCGGACCTCGTTCGCTTCCCGCTCCTCCTGCGGTACGGCGGGATCTACGCCGACGTGGGGATGATCCAGATCGGCGATCTGGACCGGCTCTGGAACGAGACGATCGCAAACCCCGCTTCGCCGTTCGAGGTCCTCTCCTATTTCACGGGCCTTCCCGACGAACGCGGCCTGACGAACTACTTCCTCGCAGCGGGAAAAGACAACCCGCTCTTCCTGCGGTGTCACAAGCTGCTGCTGAAGTTGTGGGAGGGGAAAACGTCCACGGACGGCATGCATGCGAGTCCCTTGTTGAGGGGGGTGCCGTTGATGGGGGGTTCGTTCAAAATCGAGGAGAAGGGGGAGGACGGGGGCAGCAGGATCTTTGACGAGAAGGAGAGCAGTAGGTTATTGACGGATTACATCATCCAGGGCCAGGTGGTATCGATGGTCATGGGGCTCGTGGACGACGACGAGGAGGAGGACGGCGGCGGCGGCTGGAACGGGCCGGAATATATCCGCGACCACCTCTACGGGATCGACTTCATGGAAGGATCCCAGCTGATCAACGTCTTCACCGAATGGGACGGGCGCAAGGCGTTCGAGTTGATGTCGCTCCCGCTGCCGGCGCCAGGCGAGGCCGAGACGGCGGAGCAGAAGCAGGCGCGCGAGATCGTGGAGGGCTGTCTCACGCGGAGTTTCGGGTTCAAGCTCGCCCACGGATTGATCTTGCGGGTGTACAAGGAGACGCTGGGGTCGCTGTGGAGGAAGCACGACGGCTCCGATATCGTCCCCGGGACGTACGCGCATCTGCTGCGCCATGCGGTCGTGTACTGGAACCAGGATGCGCTTCCGCCGACGCTGGAGTTCACGAATCTGGAGCCGATCAAGAGGGGTCCGTTGTTGAGGGGTGTGTAGTCGGGATGGTTGGTCGAGCTTTAACTATGTTTGTTTCCGATAGAGCCATAGACATGACTAGATTGGTGACCTGGTCGCGATGCGAATGATTGTTTTAAACTGCTAGATTGTATAAGGTCGTACATGATAAATGTCAATTATGCCACCACTGCCCTCATCTCAGCTTCAGAAGTGGCAGGAGATAAATATAACGATTTCTGAGCTCATATGCCTGCAAACTCTCACAATACGAGCCCCCAGGCGGAGCCGCAATTCGGGCTGACGGACTGATGTAGTGTGGAAGCAGAATGTTTTGAGTCTATTATCCTGAACGGAAGCTATCTATAACTGGGCCCCGTGGTCAGTCAGCGACAAGAAAATTCTATAAAGTGGCCCATCGCTTAGAATTTTATCCTCAACGCCCAGCCGCCTGCCACCCCTCTGGCAATCACAAACGCCGCACACGCCGCCAGATAAAGCACGCCCCCGAAGATGATTAGTCCCCCAAAGTTCCCGCCGTTGCTCTCCTGGATCGCTCCGGCAATCGGGATGGCAGTGAGGGTCCCAAAGCTGACGAGGGTGAACGTCGTTCCATTCCTCTTTCCAATGTCCTCGGTCCGGCAAACCTGCGCGATGCACACCGGGGTTAGGCTGATGGCGGCCCCGCTCCAGAACCCGAACAAGACCGAATACGCGATGATCGCGGCCTCGCTGGTGCCGGCTTTGTACCAGAGAGATAGGGTGAAGATGCTGCAGACAAGCGCCGTGAGGGCCATGACGTTAAACCGGCCAATCCGGTCGGCCAGTAACCCGGGAAAGGCACGGCCGGGGATGGCGCCCACGTTGAGGAATACGCAGAGCTTATAGGCCATGGATTCGCCGAGGTTAGCGGAGAGGCCGTAGGAGCACAGATAGGTGTACGGAACAAACACCGCAAACTCTACCAGCCAGACGGCCAGGGTCGTGAGAGCGTAGTTGGGTTCGCGGAGGGCGTGAATGTCGATGGCCATGTGGCGACTCGGGTCGGGCTTCAGGCGGGTCTTGAGGAGCAGGCATGCCAGCCCGCACAGCACGAAGCAGATGATCCCGATGATGCGTAGCGCCCACGCGAAACCAAGATGTGGCGCGACGTAGAGGATGATTAGCGGGAAGAAAACGCCGCCCAGGCCGCCGGCTGTACATGCGATGCCAGTGGCCAGACCCCGACGGACATTGAACCAATGGCCGATGGCAGAGATCGCAGGTGTGAAGAGCAAGCAGGACGATAGTCCGCCGAGGACGCTGAATGAGAGCATAATTTGGTAGTACTCTGCTAATAGGTTAGTCTGCGATACATGTCAGACTTTGATTTTGTTCATCTTGCGGACCTGTGCTAGCGCTGAAGCAGAAGACTGCTACGATGAGTCCAATGGACCCTGGAATGATCACTGGCAATGGTCCACGACTATCGAAGATGGGGCCTGTGATGGAGATGATTAGTTTTGTTCCAGCTACAGGGGCATGCAAAGCGAAACGTACCCACTTGGGCGCCCGCAAAGTAAAGAAAGAAGCTGAAAACCCCAAAAATCCAGCCGACGCTGGATTCCGAGTAATTCGACAGCTGGTGGGTGGAAGTCCAAGCGTGCAGGACGGAGATGGTGTTTAATAAGCCCATTGAAGGCACCATCGCACACCACGACCCTAGTACCACGAGCCAGGCACGAAGGCCCCCTTCCGGGTAAGTCTCATCAGAAGCGTCGTAGGGTCCTTGCGGACATACGGATTGAGATGGGCCCTTTTCCAGAGCAACCTCTCCATCCTGATCTGAGCTATGAGACATTTCGGCCTGGAGGTCAAGCATGCTCCATAGAACGGTGCTTTGTGTCTACTCAAGCCACAAAGTGTATGCACTCCTCAAGCTTTCATCGACCCGAAAGTCAGAGAAAACCCTATCCTCATGACTACCATTGATCCCTTGGCAATGGAAAAAATTTGGCCTATCGCAAAGTGGAGCAGATGAGATAGTGTAGTTATCGGGCTGCAGGTGATTGGCTACACACCTGGCTCCGGTCGGCACGTTTCCGCCCATGAACCTGAATCCATCGCGCCACACCCGCTTTGTTTGTTGGAATTAGGAACCTTGAACAATCGACTCCATCTTTAAAAAGGTTCATACGAACCTTCCTTCCTGATCTACCGGTAACATGGCTAGAGACGGCGGGCCTTCTTCTTCCCAAGAATGTGGGGAACTGTCTCCGATATTAATTTCCGCCGCTTAGACATGGGTGTTGCCATGTTTGATACACGACGGTCACTTGTGAGTTGCATTTCACATCACATACTGAAGGGGATCGACCTGGAAAGATTATTGTGAGCTGTATACTTCCAGCGTTCAGAAGGCCCACAACCGGTCAATATATGGGAGAGCGATATTGTTGCCAGATGAGACCTCTATGCTCATATCGTTCGATGGCTGGTTCGGTGCAGGCTTAACACGTCAACTCTACCATATGGTTGGAAACTAGTCTCTGTATTCTGGCCATAAGAGAACAGAAATGTGCCAAATTCTATCTTGGCACTTTCTGAGCACCCCGAGAGTCAATGTAACCCTCTCGGCGCTAAGAAGTGAGATTAGCGCAGCCTCGGAATGTTGTCAACACCATCGGCATACAGGGCCGTTATCAACCCGGCAATTCCCTTTTTATTCTTGTCAAGCTTACCGAATCTGGTATACTCTGCAGCTTAGTGATGAAGGTCGTATTCGATATCATAAGATGAGGATATTGTTTCACTTCAATTCCCGCGCTGAAGAACATGCCGATGATCCGTTCCATCAACGTGATTACCTTATGCAGCGTCGATCCCTGCGGAAAGATGTCATAGATCTGTGATTGAATGCTGGAGAATGTACCGATAAGTCTTCATGCAGGGCACCCACGTACGCTAGCATTCCTGGTTAATCCAGAACCCCTGCATCTCGAATTTGACTCGGGTCTGAAATGTTTTCGGTGAATCTCTTGATTCAAAAAGCCATAGAATCGGTCCATAGGCGAAGAGTAGATAGGGACACCATTGGATAGCTCAGCTTGGTAGACCCAAGACCCAAGATACACCGTATAATACAAGAACATTGATAGAGGAGCATCCTCAACCGCGCAGCACGTTCAATCAGGAGCCGCACTGTAAAAAGTCAGCCACAGTATTGCCTCCAAAATGAGCTGGCCCAACTCTAAACCAGCCGCCCCACGCGATCATGAGTTTTTCTTTCTGGAATGTATTTCTTTCGTCATTTAAAGCTTATCCTGATCCTTAGGATATGAGTGAGAGACTGCTTCTTTGCTGCAATGCGGCGAGAAAGTAGTCATCGATCGAAGCAATTCATTCTCCACGGCGTACATTGAGGCTTCCTGTGCCGAGACACTAGACAAAAAAGCGTCCAGGAATGTATTCCAAGTCATAAATTTACTATCAGAAGCACTTGAACAATGATATGTGAGAGATTCTGCGAACGGCAAGGGATGCTAGAAAGAATTAACTTACATCTGAGGAAATAATTGTGCAGCTGACACTGGAAAATGATCCCGAGGTGTGGAGATCTCCTACCGAGTAGGGAGAGAAACCCACCTTCTGAGAGCAGGAAGTTGCTGACTGAATGAGGTAATCGGATTCCTTTTTGTGAAGGTGATCGACATTCCCCGTCACTGACCTCTACCCCTTCTTGCTTAACCGACATGTCAACAACGTCAACTTCTTGATTCAAATCTAACGTGAGACTTTGAAGTCCTGCATTGAGCCATGTCTTCATCAAATCTTGAAAGGTGTATAAAGGTGCGTCCTGCGCCGGGCGAACCCAAGCTTTGATGGTGGCACTTTGATACAGCGCACGTTAACTTTCATTGTCTATTGCTCTATATTGTCATCTCCCGAAAGGAAACCACCCTTAAGTTTTTTATATCAAAGCCAGATGGAACATGATGTGGGGTGCTCAGGCCAGAAACGAATTCACTTCCAGTCAGCCATGTCGTTCCCTCTTCTTTTCTATCATCTCCGCTGATCAATTAGACTCTCTTGTCTGCCACAGCTGCGTTCCGTCGCCGGCACCTGATGAGGTTCTGGTCAAACTTGAGTATTCGGGTCTATGCCATTCCGACATTCATGCATGGAAAGGTGACTCTCTCAGCTGTATTCGTCGTAATTTTCTCTGACTCAAGAATATCAGGAACGCCCTCTATAATCAAAAGAGAAAAGCGCGTTGGTACGTTCTCTAACCAGCTCATCTGTTTCCCGCTAACACGAGGCAAGAGGGACATGAGGGTACAGGTATTGTGACGGCTGTTGGAAGTGAGGTAGAAGACATCTCAGTTGGAGATCATGTGGGCGTGCAGGTATATTCCATCCCCGGACTTTCGCGGCTGTGAAAGGCTGACAGAGCAATAGTGGGTCAACAAGACTTGTGGCGTCTGTGAGGCCGACAAGCGAGCCGACTACTTGGCTTGTCCTAAAGCTCAAATGACGGGCTTCTCTGTTGACGGTACTTTCGGCACTTGCTGCGTCATTCAAGCACGTCATGCTGTCCGCATCCCGAAGGAGTATCCCCTCGACACAGTGGCACCTATAATCTGTGCCGGAACCACATGCTTCAGAGCTGTGGAAGAGACCGGGGTGAAGGAAGGTGACATCTTGGGTAAGGCGACAACGTATCAGAAGTGGGTATAGTTAGTACTGACCGGTACAAGCTGTTGTTGGACCCGCGGGTGGCATCGGATCACTGGCATGCCAGTACGCTAAAGCCCATGGTTGTCGAGTGCTTGCAATTTCCACTGGGGGTGACGGTCGGATTCTGTACAGGGACAAACTCCGGGTTGATTTCTATGTGGACTGCAATACATCCACAGACATTGTTACGGAAGTCCGAAAGCTGACCGGAGGTGGTCTTGACGCGGCTATTATGATTGAGGGTACTGAAGCACTTCTAGAAGATGCTGCTCAGTATATACGACCTCGAGGGTCTATTGTTGTCGTGGGGAAGCCCCCAGAGAATACAGTAGGTTTGGGCATGTCTAACTTGCTGCTGCGAATGGGCCAAATCAAGTCGTCTCCCTATGGCGGTCCGAGAGAGCAGATTGAAAAGGCTATCGAAATATTCTTTGAGAAGAATTTCTATCAGTCTTCTCATGTTATATCACTTGATCAACTACCCCAGATGCTTCAACCCGTTCACCAAAGAGACCCCGAGGATCATTCTAATGGACATAGCTCACGATACGAAAGCAGCTTGCTGGGACAGGAAACAGTCAAGATCCCCTCGTTCAGTGAAAGCACTCGAACTGAGAAGACTTTCCCAAAGCCTACATTCTACCAAGACAGCTTCAACATTGGCACTTACATTGGGTATCGTTTGGAGGAGCTCGGAATCCGTGACTTCCTAGCTGTGCCTGGTAGGAACCTTGCTCAAGTGTACTGTAAATGCTCTACTAACCTTTTCAAGGGGACACAAACCTTGTGCTTCTGGATAATATTCTCAAGAATCCCAACCTGCGAATGATTGGGTGCTGTAACGAGCTCAATGGAGGTTACGCAGCAGATGGTTACGCCAGAGCTTCGCCCGCAAAAGTTGCCGTTCTTGTTGTGCCGTATGTGGTAGGGGCTCTTTCGGCCCTAAATGCAGTGGCAGGCGCTTGCTCTCAGAACATAAAGATCATCGTCCTCTCTGGGTGCCCAACAACAGGGATGCTAGCTAGTAAGAAATTCTTGCATCATGCACCAAGCGCAGCGAACAGGGACCAAGCTCTCGATGCCTATCGGGGCGTCACTGCCGCCTCTATTCGTCTCCAATCGACAAACACAGCCGTTCAAGCCTTGGATGACGCTATAAGCAAGTGTTTCGCGTCTTCTCTTCCCATTTTTATTGAAATTCCCAATGACATTGCAGGAGCTGCATGCTCCTCTCCTTCCCCATTCAAGATACCTGAGACAATGATTCAAACTTCGAGAAATGAGGAAGCCGTCAATTCTATCACTGGCACCTGGAATAAGTCGGAGAAGCCCGTCCTCCTCTTTGGGAGCCTTGCACGCCGTCTACTTTCCGCGCATGACATTGAAGCCCTAGCTGATAGACTCGGCTGTGCCGTACTCTGCCAGCCAGATGGCCGCTGCATATCTGAGTCTCACCCGCAGTATTGTGGCCAATTATGGAATGGTCTCACCAATCCGGAGGGAGAGAAAGTCTTCATGGATTCTGATCTTTGGCTCATTGTCGGTGCAAATTGGTGCGACTTTCACGGTATCTTTACCAGCATTGACGAAGAAAAGAGTCGCATGATCAGCATCGGCAAAGGTTGGGTCGAACTGCCCGATGGAACATGCATTCAAGGCGTAGACTTCGCCACGGTTGTTAGACAACTTATCCGATCATCGATGGAATCCAAGCACAAGTCAGTTCCACGGCCAAAGCCGACCCTGGGGGCAAAACCTTCACAGACGGAAGACCTTGACGCTCCTTTGACATTGGAGCACGCTATGTACGGCATTCAAAACATTTTGCGAAGTGGTGACACGATGCTCTGTGACGCTGGAGAGGCTTGGTTTCTTGCTAATCATATACGGCTCCCTCCCGGCACAGACTGCCAAATCCAAATGCCCTACTGCTCGATTGGTTGGGCACTACCGGCTGGACTTGGCGCTCAGCTTGGCCGCTCACAGGGCCGTTCGATCATTCTGATCGGCGATGGTGGGTTTCAAATGACGGCACAGGAGGTCAGCACCATTGTCCGTCAGCATCTGAATCCGATCATCATTATCTTCAACAATCTTGGCTACAAGATTGAGGTATTTAGCGCAGCTCTCATGTTTACTCGGATTCACTAACCAATCCTCCTCAGACGGCCGTCCACGATGGGCCATATAACTACATCGCCAACTGGAACTATCCTCAGCTGGCCGCTTCTCTATCCGCAAGCCCTCACGCGTCCTCTCACAACCCTTATTCTACCAAGAAGCAGGAGTGTATGGAAAGTTATCCGTCGTTATTCACCCTGCAAGTCAAGACGCAGAGAGATCTTAAAATGGCTCTCAAGAGAGCATACGACGAGCATGATAAGCTTGCCTTTCTTGAGCTGTGCATTCAGCCAAATGATTTGAGCCAGGAGGTACGGCAGCTTGGCAAAGCGTTTGCGCAGAAAAATGCCGAAGAATCCTCTGGACCATCTGAAAGTTTTGCTTTTAAGACGCCCAGCGCAGCGACAAGCGGTCCCAACAGTCCGAGAGTCGGTAGTCCTGCCAACACGTCAGTATAAGTATCTTCGACCAGTCCGCGCGCTTCAGCAGTAAGTGAAAATGAATCTGTCGGAATGGGAATGGCGACGCCGGGTCTCGGGTTGAAACTATTGCTTCTCGTCTCAAAGTCAAACTTAGTCGCAACCCTGAGATTGTGCCAATGCTGAGATGCGGTGCCATATGCTTCAGTCTATCGATAATGAATGTCGGATATTCTTGATGGTAAGTAGCAGAGTGAGCGGACTGAGGTGGTGTTAGAGGGGTAATCGGAGGAGTAAATTGTTATCTTGTCGTTCAAAGTTCTGGTAATTTGTTCTTTGATAGCTTTATATATCATGCAGTGTTATCGTTCAATGAAAGTTCAAATCATAAATGTGTGGATTTTACTTCGAGTATTATGTTTGCGTCGCAACCACAGTAGCTCTCTCGCTCCGTTATATCGATATATGCGATTCAGCATATGTCAATGACTTGAAGTCTGCAAAAATGTTGCTTATAGTTCCACTCGTAAGATGATCGGTTTTCCATTCCCCAAAGTTTCTCCAGTCATACTCAGAGAAAGCCATCAACATGGTTCTCGAGTGCCTACTGGTCAGTGAATTGGGCCCGTAGGCGGCTTATAGATAGTATCTTGATTCGACAAAGCTGAATTCGGACAGATGAAGGTGTGGACCCCATTTCAACTCAAGCATATTCACAGAACACCAGGAAAGAAGGAAGTGTTCGTAGTTCCTTACACACGTCTCTCATCTTTCTCGCGCGACTCTTCAACAACCGGCAACACTTGAACTCTCTCTCCATCTCCGTTAACGTTCTTGTAAAATCTCTCCATCAATCTCTCTACGTACCGTGAGAATAGTGTCTCATCTTTCTCTCCGGTATCGGCATTTATTGAGAACAAATCTTCCTACGTTGAGGTTTCTTACCCTTTTTGTTCTTCAAAATGCCGCTGCCGTTACCCGGTGAGGATAGTCAAGCGCAATTCATGTTCACGGTAGCTAGGCTCACGCCTGGCAGCAGCCAGCCACGCCGCCTAGAGAACGATGAACAGGAGATGTTCAAATGTATGCAGCTGTACAAACTCGGGGTGCCTCTCTATACCCGTGAGGCTATTCTGAATGCGTATAGTCAGCTGAAGGCCAGCAAACGTGGCGATAGCATCAATATCACAGCCATAGACGGCACGAGTGTCGACTTTATCATCAATACTGGCAGATTCTGGATTGGTGCCGATGGATATGAGCGTGAGCTGTGTGTATACTTCCCCGAAATTGCTTCAGTCGCAAGAGAGAGACAGACACTAATATTTTGGGTGGCCGTTGTATGCTAGTGGGAAACCCCGTCTGTGTTTCATGCCCATCCAGCGGCTTGAAAGCTGTGTTGTTCCCGATCAACTGCACACCATTCCCTGCAGCATTCGCGTCGCCCACCGAGTTGCCACGCGCGATCCGATCACCAAGGAGAGATTCGAGTATCGGGTCACCGCCTTCGAGAAGGTCCGGCTGAACCTCTTCACCACGCTCCACTTCTGGCGGAATAGCCCCTACTACCAGCTGCTCCGGTACCTGCTGGACAATTACCCCAAGATGCCGCGGATCACCAAGATCATTGGGTTCGACTGCGGCAGTATGTCCCGCGACTTGCAAGGCCAGCCCTCCAACAACTCCCGTGCTCGCTACCAGCATGCGTTCCTCATCGCGCTGAAGGAGTACCTTGACGCCCGCAACTTCGAGGCCACGGGACAGGAGGTCCGCGTGTACGTGCAGCATGAGACGTACCTTGAGCGGGATATTGAGGTCATCCGGCAGTTCGGGGTACAGGTGCTCCAAGATCCAGAGGGGTTCCTTGTTGTCGATGAGGAGACCGTGGTGTTCTCATGCCGACCCGAATGCCCGGTGAGACAGGTTGTGGCCGACCTGGCGATGCCGGCAATGATGATCTGGGACCATGAGAGAGATCCAACCAAGGTCAACGGGATGCCTGTACAGCGCATGTAAGTGTGTCCTGGTCTTCTAGGTGCGCGGCCCCAGAGAAGGAGTATCATAACTCATAACCGGTTTTATCGCAGTTTTGACCCCTGGTCCACTCGCCTGGACACTATGATGCGGTTCTACCATGTGCAGGACTTTGTCAACGATGAGATCAATTTCGATAAGATGGATGTGTGTATTCGTCGCCCTATGGCAGATGTGTATCACGACTTGAATGATCCGGACGCTGGCAGCGACGCGAACATTGCCCAGCCAGTCGCGTAATCTGGAGGTGGTGGTGGTGGTGGTGGTGGTGGTGGTGGTGGTGGCTGGTCTCTGATGTTGGTGTATCTTTGGTGATATGTGCAGTGTTTGTCTTAGTGATGTTCCTAAAGCAAAAGCGGGAGAATGGAAACGGGATGAATCACTAGTAGTCATGGGCCATTGATATTTTGTTTCTAAAGATTGATTGTTGCTGGGTTGAATAGACATGCTTGGAGACGTTGAGCTTGGCTCTGCGGAGTTATCGATGATAAGGTGGGCGGTGGGAGCTAATGTCCTGGTATTCGGAGAAAGTCTTGCCCGATTGATTAGTGAACGCAAGAGTCTAGCCCAGGCCCAGATTTTTGTCAGATAGGTCATGGTTGGAACTGGTTATAGCCAACAATAATACTAGAGTTGAGTTCTTGAACTAGGGAATGCACACACACGCCCCCCTAGCGGCACCCAGCCGATCTACGGAGTACGGAGTACTGATACATCATTGAACAGCAGCACGCTCTAGTCTAGGAATGGGTGTCAGCGGACCCGTAAGCAAACCGCTCAAATTTTGGGGCTGCGAGTCGCTAGGTTCGGAGTGGTCCGATGGAGAACTAAACTTGGGAAACGATTGAGGGCTACTAACTTGGGAGAGAAGATATGATGCATCCCAAGTAACCAACCAAGTTAGCCTGGAGGTAAGGTGTGGTTCCCGTTCCGGGTAAGCGGGTAATAAGCTTACTCAGATACCCCGGCCTAGAACGGATGGTGCAATGCTGTGAGTATTCATGGAGCAATTGTCTGGTAGCTTTCTCGATCCTATCAAAGGTATACAGTCCATAACACATCGTTCCCCCTGCTCAAACGATCCTATAGCATGTTTTCTGGTCGGTTGCGCCGTTCCTGCAGCGGTCGTGGAGATCATCACGTTTTTATTGACCGGGGTTGTTGACGCGGGAGATCCCAAAATAGCAGCGAGTGCACACTGCTGCAGGAGTAGCGCAAGAGTCCGAAGTAGTAGTGGTTAGTGGGTGATAAAACGCCAGGAGGTGCAGCAGTGCGGGGAGTCCCTTGTAACCTTTGTAATCTCTGTAATCTCTGTAGTGGTAGTGGAAATTCGCCCTTGGCCGCTTGGCGGAAGACGCGTCCTTCCTTTTCCTTCTCTTGTCAACTCCGTTCCATCTCTTTCACGCTCACACGCTCACTCACTCACTCACTTTCATTGGGATCATCCAACTCGAAACTCCCCACTGGATCAGTCCACTAAGCATGGTCTATGCTTCTCTTAGCCCATTGCACATGTGTTTACCTCCTTCACCCCGACAAATATCACGTCCATGTTGCCTGATGCCAAGTCAGCCTGCCGCAGCTCCGACGCTAAGCCGAACCATCGAGACCCTCCAGCATTACCAAGCAGTGGGACGGACTCTCAATCGCAAGCCACGATCGACAACGGCTGGATCAGTCAATCCTCAACCTTGCTCACAACCACCAGTTGGTTTTGTCGTCCACGTTCTTGGCTTGTAAAACTAAATCCATTCTGGGATGGGCTGCAACCGTTCCACCTACACAAACCAATAGAATGAAGCATATTTCTCACGATCACCCGCTGCAGCAAGGCATCATCTCCAGCAAGAGACGGCAAGGGACAGTCTGCTCGGGCGATATTCCAGTTTCATCGCCCTTTTGCCCAGCTTTCTCCCAATGGCTACGGGAAGTCGCATTGGACATGTTGTTCGTGCTATGTCTCAATTTTCTCCGATTGCCGTGGATGCTGGCCCGGTTCTTCATTCCTTCCCCTCGCTTCGCGACTCTATATAAGCTGCACCTTCTCCCTTCCCCCACCTCCCAATTCTCGGGCTGCCACGTCTTTCTTCTAGCGTCGCGTCGCTCTGTATCAGATTTTTGCCGGTTCTGGTGAGTCAATGTCGGCTGACCCTCTGTCCACCCCGGGGTGCATCTACTGTCTTCCAGGTTGATGATTTGATTTGCTCACTTCGAACTTTCATAGACAAGCAGCGTGAAACATGCGCTCAATTGGTCTTCTCGGCCTCGTTGCCGTCGCACAAGCCGCCTGCCCGTATATGACTGGCGAGCTTACCCGGCGTGATGATTCCGACGCCTCTGAAGCCACTGAGGAGTTTCTCTCCCAGTACTACCTCAACGACAACAACACCTACCTCACCAGTGACGTAGGTGGTCCTATCGAAGACCAGAACAGCCTCAGCGTCGGCGAGCGTGGTCCCACCTTGCTTGAAGACTTTATCTTTCGCCAAAAGATTCAACGTTTCGACCATGAGCGAGTAAGCTTCCATGTCTACCATGGTGATCTAAGCTGACCATGTAGGTTCCCGAACGTGCTGTTCATGCTCGTGGAACAGGTGCCCATGGTGTGTTTGTTTCCTACGGAGACTACTCCAACCTCACAGCTGCCTCGTTCCTTTCGGAGAAGGGGAAGGAGACTCCTGTGTTTGTACGCTTTTCTACTGTCGCGGGTAGTCGCGGTAGCTCGGACTTGGCTCGTGATGTTCATGGTTTTGCAACTCGTTTCTACACCGACGAGGGCAATTTTGGTCAGTCCGCCAGTAACTTGCTCGAAGCCTATACTAACGCTTCACAGATATTGTGGGAAACAACATCCCTGTGTTCTTCATTCAGGATGCTATTCAATTCCCGGATCTCATTCATGCAGTCAAGCCCCGAGGCGACAATGAAATCCCCCAGGCTGCCACAGCACACGACTCGGCCTGGGATTTCTTCAGCCAGCAGCCAAGCTCATTGCATACACTTTTCTGGGCGATGTCTGGCCACGGTATTCTGCGTTCGTTCCGATTCACTGATGGTTTCGGAGTTCACACTTTCCGCCTCGTCACAGACAGCGGTGCAACTAAGCTGGTGAAGTTCCACTGGAAAACATTACAAGGTAAGGCTAGTCTGGTTTGGGAGGAAGCCCAGCAGGTATCGGGTAAGAATCCCGATTTCCTGCGCCAGGATCTCTTCGAGGCCATCGAGGCAGGCCGTTACCCCGAGTGGGAGGTACGTTTCTCACCTTTTCCTTCGACGCGACGCACTGCTGACCTACATAGCTTGGCGTACAAATTATGGATGAAGCCGACCAGCTGCGTTTTGGCTTTGATCTTCTTGACCCAACCAAGATTGTTCCAGAGGAGTATGTCCCTATCACAAAGCTGGGCAAAATGACCCTCAACCGCAACCCTCGCAATTACTTCGCGGAGACTGAGCAGGTTATGGTGCGTGCTCCCTATTCCGATGTGTAACCCAGCATGCTAAAGGTCCCAGTTCCAACCCGGTCATATCGTCCGTGGTGTCGACTTTACCGAAGATCCTCTTCTCCAGGGGCGTCTCTTCTCCTACCTTGACACCCAGCTGAATCGGCACGGCGGACCCAACTTTGAGCAGCTACCCATCAACCAGCCTCGTGTGCCTGTTCATAACAATAACCGTGATGGTGCCGGTACGTCTCCTTCCCTATTCATACCCTCATAGCTAAACCTGGCAGGCCAAATGTTCATCCCCCTCAACCCCAACGCCTACAGCCCGAACACCCTCAACAGCGGCTCTCCGAAGCAAGCCAACCAGACTGTTGGCAATGGCTTTTTTACAGCCCCCCGGCGTGTTGCAAATGGAAACTATCTTCGCAGCACCTCTCCTACATTCTCTGATGTTTGGTCTCAGCCCCGACTCTTCTACAACTCCCTCTCGCCCGCAGAGCAGCAATTTGTGATTGATGCAATCCGCTTCGAGAACGCCAACGTGCAAAGCTCTGTCGTTCGGGAGAATGTTGTCCTCCAACTTAATCGCATCTCCAACGATATCGCCCGTCGTGTGGCCCGCGCCATTGGCGTGAGCCCTCCTGCGCCTGACCCAACTTACTACCACACTAACACCACGGCTGGAGTCGGCAGCTTCGGCACACCACTGAATAAGCTGGACGGCCTCAAAGTTGGTTACCTCGCTTCCGTTCAGAGCCCTTCGTCTATAACTGGTGCCAAAGCTCTCGCCGACTCCCTTGCCAAGAAGAACGTTGACGTGGTTGTTGTGGCGGAGCGTCTCGCGAGTGGTGTCAGCCAGACCTACTCTGCCTCCGATGCGATTCAATTCGATGCCCTGGTTGTCGCGCCCGGGGCGGAGAATTTGTTCACAGCAACCTCGTTGACTGCTCCTCAAGGCAACGCCACGACGTTGTATCCGGCGGGCCGTCCGCTGCAGATCCTCGTTGATGGGTTCCGCTTCGGAAAGCCCGTTGCCGCGGTGGGAAGTGGGTCCGGAGCTCTGAAGAGTGCAGGCATTGCGACCTCAAGAGATGGAGTCTACGTTGCAGATGAGGCATCGGACTCGTTCTTGGATAATTTCACGGAGGGTCTTAGGACATTCAAGTTCTTGGACCGGTTTGCCGTTGATAATTAGGTGATGAGCTGTCTGCCTATTCGCCTATATCGGTCGCTTCGTCCATTGCTCGGCGAGGTAACCGCTGTCAATGGTAAGTTGATGACGGAGGATAAGCTAATACGGGGGCTACCCTTCACGACTATTATTGGATGTAATTATTGTTAGCATTAGCCTTGCAAATATGAGCACAATTTCTGTTCCCTAGAATTTCAGCCTGCAAGAAGACGAACTATCTCTTGCAGCGACCATACTCATAGCGACCAGAGCTCGTCAATCTAGCTCTCAAGCTGACGGTGATTTCTATGATCTCATGTCCGATTCTCCTTCCGCTCCGAAAACAGCGTCTCATTTCCAGTAGCACTGAAGCTTGGCCGTGGTTTGCAAAAGTGTAGAACCTCAATGATCCAGTCTCTTGCTTGAGACATTGAGCAAGGCGCGGTTCCGAGTTGAACCCTTCGAGGAATCAAACCATCGACTTCAGTAGCACGGTATACCACCATTTATGATAATTTCTCCTCGATCCCGCTTGGCCGCTTCAGAACAACCAACCACCTCCAAGCTCCTTCAACGGGGGCTGTAACACAAAAGCATGACATCAATCTGACCTATTTCACATATGCTAGGACTGACATGCAAAAAGCAAGGGGGGGAGGGGTCGAGATTCCCCAAACTGTACGGGGTGAGACTGAAGGAGGGAGGAGCGGTGGGGTGGGGTTGAGGCGCGGTGGGCTTCTCTCTCTCACCTTCGGAAGCAGAACCCGAAGATTGCTTTCGTTCGTACGAGAAGCAACGGATATTTTAGTATTTATATTACCCTCCTTCCAGCTGTGATTTTATGTGTTATCTGCATGAGTTGATACTTGATTTACCTATTTTACGGCATTGTGTACTTTCTGATCAAGGGGTTTGTTAACAGAAATTGAAAAGAGTGAAGGAATCACGAGAGGCAGTCAAGGTTTCGAGGCGAAGGTACCTGATGATTGATGGTCTGGTTCCCACTTGTTTGCTGCTCTTTTACTCTCACATTCAGTCTGGAGGATCCGCTCGATAGATAAGGTCGTGCGATTAGCCCCTCCCTCCCCGCCTTTAGGCCGGGGAAACCGAAGGTAAGTCAACGGACTCACAACACAGGATACATAGTTGATAACACCCCTGGGTGATGCTGAGTGGCCCAGCAAGCGGCAGCAGAAGCCGAAAAGCCCGCGGGCCCTGGGCAGCTGAACCGATACGTTAATGTTGAGAGGAGGGGGGAAATGCAACTGCTGACGATCCCGCCTCGACGGAAGCCAATCGGGGGGTGCACCGGAGGGAATCTCGAGCCGAAAGGTGGCATGGAAGGGGTCATCAATCCCACCTTGCGGTCATCGCAAGGGTGCATGGGGTATAAATATAGGCTGAAGGGGGGAAGGGGGATTTTGCTCTGCTTACTGACTCTCTGTGACTGTGTCCGTGGGATTTAGGCACAGTAACTGACTGACTTGTGCGTGAATGTGAAAATGAAAGCTCGAGTATTACATCTCGTTTCCCGGCCGCGGCCGCAGCCGGACCCTCTACTGTTCTCTCACAGGCTCTATATTTCCACTTCGACTACTTCGCATATAGCTAGATCGTCTACAACGAAGGCGGCGCCTACTACGGTGGCAACGAGTGAGGCCGGAAATGCAGCGCATCCGCACCATCACCATCATGATATTCCCTTCCCCTCTACTTCGGCCGCGCAACCCTCGTCTGTGGCCGCCGCTCCTCTCGCCGGCCTCCCGACCCGAACCTTCCTTCGTTCGCTCTTTCTCACCAGTGTGATGGCCTCGCCTCTGCTGACGCCCTGTCTGTCGCTCATGAAGGTTCTTGTCGACTCCCCTTCCACGTTGCTGCGTCCCTCCTCCAACGCCGCAATGGACTACCTCCTCCGTCGCACCATCTACGATCACTTCTGCGCGGGGACCAACGAGATCGAAGTTCGCCGGACTGTCCGGGAGATGAAGCGGCTGGGCTTCAAAGGAGTGATTCTGGGGTACGCAAGAGAGTCGATCGCACATGTGAGCCCGAGTTCTGGTCGGGAACCGACTGCCGCGGTGCTGCAGGGACAGCTACAGCTACAGCAGGCACAGTGGGAACAGGCGGTCAAGGAGTGGAAAGAGGGGAACCTACGCACTCTGAAAATGCTAGGTGAAGGGGATTATCTAGCTGTTAAGTATGGTTTTCTCCGTCGCTAGGTGGATGGGCTGTATACAATACACAAAGGGTTTCAGTTGCTGATGTATTATGACCTCTAACTAGATTCACTGGCGCTGGTCCGCTGGCGGTCCACTCGCTCACGCGGAATGATCCCCATCCTCCGCCGCAGATCGCAGCTGCCATCCATGAGATATGCGCAGCCGTCGCAGCGCAGAAATCCCGGTTATGGATCGACGCGGAGCAACAAGTGTTTCAGGCGGCGATTGACTCTTGGGCGGTGGGTCTAATGAGGAGGTTCAATCGTCCTTCGGAGACGCCTCAAGAGGAAACCCCCATTGTTGTTTTGAATACCTACCAGGCCTATTTGAAGCGCTCAGCGGACATCCTGGCTGGCCATTTGCGTCTAGCGCGTCAAGAGGGCTGGGGAGTAGGTGTGAAGTTGGTCCGAGGGGCGTATATTGCGCATGATCAACGGGATAGAATCTGGGAAACCAAAGAGGAGACGGACGCGAACTATAATGGAATCGTGAGGGCGCTGATTGAGAATCGCCACCCCTCCACCTCCAGAGGTGCGGGCTCTAAGCTTGGATCCGAAAGGGCGGAGGATCTTCCGACAGTGCGACTGTTCGTAGCTTCGCATAACGGGGAGAGTGTGGCCAAGGCGTGCACTCTCTACCAACAACGACAAAGGGAGGGCCGGAAGACAATCCCTGTCGAGGTGGGTCAGCTGCAGGGGATGGCAGACGAGGTTAGTTTGGGAATGGTAACTGCGGGAGGTCATGCGGAAGCGAAGCCCGGGGTTTTCAAGTGCCTGGCCTGGGGTTCCACGGAGGAGTGTCTACACTTTCTGCTGCGGCGGGCGGTGGAGAATCAGTCCGCGATGCAGCGGACGAGGCATACAGCACAGGCGTTACGCGGGGAGGCATGGAGGAGAATGGTGGCTTTCATGCGAGTTTGATGCACCGGGCTTATTATCTCCGCCAGCAAGTGATCGAAATATGACGCGATGTGTAGATGGATCGATCTGATCTTGGATGCGTTTCCTTTGTCTGTTCCTCCGTTCTTGGTACACCGTTGCACGCTAGGACCGATGATCATAGAAGCGGGCCCCGCTTACTACGAAGAACTTCGATTGCCTCGAGATAATCGGGGTCATCATCATCAATGACCGCCTCGCATTCGAATCCCTCGAGGAGTTCGAGCACGTAGTCCTGGCAGTCCCACTCGAGGGTCTCGTTGTCGACCAGGGCGGCATCCACGACAGCCTGGATCGCGGGGATGTCCACGTTGCCAATGTCCGCGACCCTGATTGACTGGATGTACATGGGGATGTTCCGGGGGTGGACGTGGGAAGTGACTTTGGTGAACCCTGGGTGTTCCCCGTCGACTTCGAACACGCGATCCCCGGTGTCGGTGTGAAGGTGGAGGGCCCAATGCTGGAAGTTGCCATAGCGAGGATGGAAGATGGCGACCGCGAGGTACGGAGACATGTTGGTGGGGGGAGGTGACTATGCTGATATGGTGAAAATTGAGAAAACTAGGCGAGAGCTTTATACTACTACCCCTTCGTTTGTTGTTATCCAGGCAGGCAATTGTCCAGCCAGGCAACCACCACCACCACCACCACCAGCCACAGCGGAACACATGGCTGCGGTGGCTGCGGTGGCTGCGGTGGCTGCGGATTTCTACCCCGCAAGACCCTGAGTTGGCTCTTCTTTTCCTCTCCATCCCCTCAACCATACCAAGGTACAGCAGAGCATGCTGTCATTTGCAGGTAACTCTATTCCCAGCTTACTTGCTTCCGCGGCAATAATTAAGTTCGTCCTTTGACCTTCGACTTCTAGGCATAATGGATCCTCTATCCAATGAGTGGCCTCAATTGCCAGTCCCCGGACAGAGCCGGTGGCTGTTGCTTCCCCACATTCCCAGATGACTGGCTGGAATCCCCGTGATTGGGCTTGTGGTGCCTGTCACTGACGCCATCAGTTTCTGCTTCCGCCTCCGCTTCCAAGTGAATTTCCCCCCATTTCTCCTAGTAAATATTCCAACATTCATTCATTCACTCCCTGACCCATCGGCCCATCCGGGTCCCTTTCTCCGTCTTCTTCTACTTTAAATTCCCCTCAGATCCCCTCTTCCCCTCTCTGCGCGATGTCTGGTCTATCTATCTTTAGTCTTATTCCCCTAGGTCGCCTCAATTCTCCTAGTTTCACCTTCGTGCAGCCGATCGACCTTGGCATTCCCACACTTGGACACGAGGGTGGATCGTTCCTCGCAGCCAAATCTCCGATCGCAGGAACTTGTCTGTCTAGCCTTGCTCTTTAAATTCTCATTCCCCGCGTCACTGCGTTTCTCTTTTTCCTCTGCTCTGCTCTTGCAGTACTGTCGGATACGATCTCCGTACGGGTTCACTGCTCTCTCTTGTGACGGCCCGCCGGCGCAGCAAGATGCAGCTCAAGGTATGTACCCCAGAAATACCAGACACACACTGTCTCCAGAGAGAGGAAGCTAACGAGCCCAGTCGCTGGTGAACTTATTGTCGCTGGGATTGGCTCTCCCTGCTGCTGTTGAGGGAGCCCCCAATCGACAGGCTCGCGTCGTCTCCGCCCTCCATCGTTACGGTGGCCGTGATTCGGTCCAACCATCGAGCAATAATGCTTCCGGTGTTTACCCAACCAGGTTCGCGGGTGTCACCTGGGACGACGACAATTGGCGTCTCACGACGACTACCGTCGACCAGGGTCACTTCCAATCCCGGGGCTCGATCGCCAATGGTTACATAGGCATCAATGTCGCCAATGTTGGACCCTTCTTCGAGATGGACTCGGAGGAGAACGGTGATGTGATCAGCGGATGGCCTCTATACTCCCGTCGCCAGTCCTTTGCGACCATTGCCGGCTTCTGGGACCGTCAGCCATTGACAAATAAGTCCAACTTCCCCTGGCTGTCTCAGTATGGCAGCGATAGTGTTATCAGCGGCGTTCCACACTGGAGTGGCTTGATACTCGACTTGGGTGACGGCACATACCTCGATGCAGAAGTCGACAATCGGACTATCACTAACTTTCAGTCAACCTTCGATTACAAGGCTGGTCTGTTATCCTGGTCCTATACCTGGACCCCTGCCGGCGACAAAGGATCCTTTGCTATCACCTATCGGCTCTTCGCGCACAAGCTGAGTGTCAACCAAGCTGTGGTAGACTTGGAGATTGTACCTTCGACTGATGGCAACGCAACAGTTGTCAACGTGTTGGATGGATATTCGGCGGTTCGTACCGACTTCGTTGAGTCGGGAGAGGACGAAGGGGCCATTTTTTCTGCTGTGCGGCCATGGGGTGTGGGCAACGTCACTGCATACATTTACGCCACTCTAGATGCCTCAGACAATGTCGATCTGTCTTCTCGAACGCTCGTCACCAATAAGCCCTACGTACACACGAATGACTCCTCTATTGCGCAGGCAGTCAACGTTCGGTTCACTGCCAATGAGGCCGTCCGCGTCACCAAGTTCGTTGGCGCAGCCTCCACAGACTATTTCCTGGCGACCCGCGAAACCGCCAAGCTTGCTGCTCAAACCGGGCGGGCCCTGGGTTACTCCCGCTCGCTGCAATCGCACGTCGCAGAGTGGGCGGAGATTCTGCATGAGAGCGCTGTCGATCGCTTCAATGACCCTATCACTGGCAAGCTACCTGCGGACCGCCACATCATTGACTCGGCCATTATTGCTGTCACCAACACGTACTACCTGCTGCAGAACACCGCAGGTCCTAACACACTTGCAGCCACGGGTGGAATGCCTGTCAACATCGACAGTTGCGCTGTCGGTGGCCTGACCTCGGACTCCTATGCTGGCCAGATCTTTTGGGATGCAGATCTGTGGATGCAACCTGGACTGGTGACGTCGCACCCTGAGTCGGCACAACGCTACACCAACTACCGCATTGCCTTGCACTATCAGGCCGAGGCCAATGTCAAGACTGCGTTTGCAGGCTCACAGAACCAGACTTCCTTCAGTTCTTCTGCCGCTATCTATCCGTGGACGAGCGGTCGATTTGGAAATTGCACTGCTACAGGGCCGTGCTGGGATTACCAGTACCATCTGAACGGCGACATTGGTCTTGCGATGATCAATCAGTGGGTGACGAGCGGTGATACGGAATGGTTTCGCAATTATCTTTTCCCGATCTACGATTCAGTAGCCACACTCTACGGAGACCTTGTTCAGCGAAACGGGTCATCATTCACGTTGACTAATATGACCGATCCGGTAAGTCTGCACGATACATCATACGAATATCAGCTGATTCCTTTAGGACGAGTATGCCAACTCAATCGATGCCGGTGGTTATACCATGCCACTTATTGCTGAGACCCTGAAGTATGCCAACCAGTTTCGCAAGCAATTTGGGCTGGAGGCAAACGAGACCTGGGATGAGATTGCGGAGAATGTTTTGATACTGCGCGAGAATGGTGTAACCTTGGAGTACACTTCGATGAATGGATCAGCCGTCGTAAAGCAGGCTGATATCGTACTCAACACGTTTCCATTGGCCTACGAGTCTGATAATTACACCACGGAGAATTCGTTGACGGACCTCGACTATGTAAGTGGTCTCTTGCCATGTCGTTAGGGAATATGCTAACTGGTGCAGTATGCAAACAAGCAATCCGCCGATGGCCCAGCCATGACGTATGCTATCTTCTCTATCGCCGCCAGTGATGTTTCTCCGTCTGGCTGCTCCGCCTACACCTACCATCAGTATTCCTATGCGCCCTACTCACGAGGCCCTTGGTATCAGCTCTCTGAGCAGATGATCGATGATGCTAGTATCAACGGTGGCACTCATCCGGCGTTCCCCTTCCTGACTGGACACGGTGGTGCCAACCAGGTCGTGCTATTCGGCTATCTGGGGCTGCGTCTGTTGCCGGATGATATCCTTCACGTGGATCCTAACCTTCCACCCCAGATCCCGCATATCACCTACCGGACATTCTACTGGCGCGGTTGGCCGATTTCCGCCTGGTCAAACTACACCCACACCACTCTGCAGCGCTCCTCGTCTGTGGCACCTCTGGCTTCAGCAGATGTTCGCTTCAACGGCACTGGTATCACTGTCCAGGTCGGCCTATCCACTAGCGACGCCACGGCTAGCTACACTCTTCCTCTGTTCGGGTCTTTGACAATCCCCAACCGTCAAATTGGGTCCATTAACACCACTCCGGGCAATCAAGTGCAGTGCCATCCGGTCTACTCGCCTGACCCTTATGAGCCTGGTCAATTCCCTATTTCCGCCGTTGATGGTGCCACCTCGACGCGCTGGCAACCTTCTTCTGGAAATCTGTCTTCGATCACCGTGACCCTTTCCACGATCAACACGCAATCCGCCGACGGTGTAACTGGCTTCTACTTTGACTGGTACCAGTCTCCTCCCAAGAATCTAAGTATCATCTTTCACGATGCGCCCATCACGCGGCCTGCACAGTTCTTCGCTGCTTCCGGCAACTCCACCTCGTCTTACCGTCTCATTACCCAGCTGTCCGATGTGACCCAGTCAAGTCCCTACAACAGTGCCGCTATTGAAAAGGCCAACACCGTCTCTATTCCTAGCGGCAACACCACAACTATCACATTGAATGAGCCTGTTCGCAGTGCACGATTCGCCACCCTGTTGATAGCAGGTAACCAGGCAAGCGCGAACACAACTAAGGGTGCAACCGTGGCCGAGTGGGTGATCTTGAGCGGCAATTCTACTACCGAGGCGAGCACCGCGAGCAAGCGGTCGCTGACAGCGCGCGACAAGGCCACGTTGGCCCGCTTCTAGTCGTCGACAGACCCTAGGAACCTAGAGCTAGTAAGACTTTCCGGTGGTCAACCTAGCCGACCTTGGAGCTAGAAGAGCTACGCTACCTACACATCGGTTTGGTTTCTTGCGTATCTGGAATTCTTTTCACAGTCTTGGTTCTTCTTGCCGCTCATGTCCCTTCTATCGTTATGTGCTCGGTTTATGGCCGGCCACACAGACGATGTACATACAGACATACATAACTTTATTGCAATTAATGATAATATTCAGGTTGATGTATGAAGTCTTCTTGGAAGTCCGGGGCAGCAGTAGCTCGCGTATTTTTATCAGAATAATCAAGCGAAGCTATAAAGGTGGGTTAGCAGTCTATATCGGAGGGTGTCCCATGTGTTGTATGTAGTCCTTTGTAGTCCAGTGTGACTGACATCAAGCACAAACACAAATCGATGATTTCCAGCCAATATAAGTAAGTAACCCATAACATACATACATACCTTGGAGAGAAAAAGAGGAAAGAACAAAAAGCAAAGGAGCAAAAGTTTAATCAAGGCCCGAGCCGCGGATCGAACGCGGGACCTCTCGCAGATATGCTTGGGTTTGGAATCCCTAAGCGAGAATCATACCACTAGACCACCCGGGCTTGTTATGGTATCTGGTGTAATTTTTGCCCTCATGTATTATGATAAAAGCATGGTGTAAAGGGTTTCTTGTTAGCTTGCCATGTTTCATGCTTGAATGTTTGCGGTGCTGGGGGATGTATTGTAAGGAGGGATTAGATAATTGGCCGATAGGTGCGGGAGGTACAAGTGCTTTTCTTATGAATAATAAACTGATGGTTATTTGTGCATGATTGGATGGTGTGCAGGTTGGTTGATTGTTGGTTGAATCCATGTCTTGTTATATATACTGAGGTGGTTTAATCCGTTTGAGGATACCGTGCGGACACAAGAACGTACAAACATGACCGCCACGATGGCTACTGCATCAAATAGCGTCGGGAAAGAGATGATTATCCTTCAAGATTGGGATTGCGCCAGGTGGCCTCCTAGAACTACTGGTGCTCCGAACTGGGTTGCTTCACGCAGGGAATCATGGCAGGGGATGGCCACGATTCACGTGACAGAAATCACAAGGACGCGGAAAAGATTGCAGGATAATATATGACATGCCCGTAGCATTCCTAACTATAGATTGAGGTATCAAGGGGTGTCTATCACCACTGAGCCAATGTAGTCATCTATCTGAAATTTACTCTTCCAAGGCCGTGAGTGGTCCAAATACAGAGGGGACACCCGTCGCACTCGTTTCGAGCGGCTGTCTGGTAGCGCGCCGGATGCGCATTGTGCGGAGACGCCACCCGAATATGTCGTGTCGTCGGGTTGGGCGCGACTGCAAGAGTCTGACGCCCACGTGGGAGAAGTCCTCGCGACGCAAAGACCCAGGCAAGCCGAGGACAAAGGCCGATGACCTCGCGCCTTGGTGTCCAATGGTGGGCAACGAAATGAGGCATGGGCGGATTTCAACCCACACCCAGTCATAGTAGCGAACGGTCCTGCGTTCAAGAGATCTTCGGACGCTTAGCATCCGGGAAACCAGATGCCCCGCGCATGCGCTTGCGCTCCATTGCTTCCATCTCCTGCTTCATGATCCGCTCCTGCTCCGTCATCTTCCTGGGCGCTTCCTTCACGGGGCCCTTCTTCCCTGCGAGAGGGTTCTTCTTCACCGCCGTCGCAAACACATTCCTCGGCTTGTTGCTGCCACCTCCAAAAGACAGCGACACCTTCGGCGCCGCCGTCGGAGCAGGCGCGGGCGCAGGGGGGGCAGCGGTAGAGGTCTCCGGAAAAGCCGACGAGCCACTGGAGTCCTTCTCCTCGGCCGAAGTGGCCGTTGCCGGTGACTCGGCCTTCGCGTCCACGTTTGCTTTCGCACCGAACCCGATATTCAGCTTCACTTTCTCGCCCTCCTTCCGCTGCAGGTTTCTAGCCTCCGGATCGATCTCATCCTCCTTCGCTGCGGCTTGACGAGCGCGCTCGATCTGCTCCTGGATCTGCTGCTGTTCCCGCTCCTCGTCGCCCTTGTCCTGCCGCTCCTTCTTCGCCAGCGCCTCGCGTCGGCGCATCGTATCCGGACTCCGATCAATGTACGCGACAAACAGCCCCTTTTCAGATTCCTGCACCCGGCAAAGACCCTCGCGACCGAGGTGCGCGACGAACTGCGACAAGCTCTTCCATTTCGTAGCGTTCATGTGAATATGCTGGCCCAAACTGTTAGCACCCTGCCCACGTCTCCTCACCCTCGCAGAAAAACTCACCATCTTATCCGCAATAATCTGTTGGTAGAACTGATTCGCGTTGACCTCCTTCTCTCCGTGCGTCGTTCTCAGAAGGTTAAGGAAATTATCAATGAACTGCTTGCTGTAGTCTTCGATGTATTTCTTCGGGTCCTCGCCGATGAGCAGCACCTGGCGGACGTGGCTTTCAGACTGGACGTGGCATTTAAAGCCGTTCTCGTCTCTCATCTGGGACAAGCCACAATCAGTATAGTCTAGCTGAGGAGAGTGGACGGGCAATGGCTTGCTTACCTGTCTCTCACATGCTTGGCAGTACCATCGCAATCTGCCTAGACCCTTCTGTTTGATCTTGTTGCTGATGGCTTTCGTACTTCCAGCTTCCGCACGCGGCATTGTGGCGATAGTGACGATGGTTCAAGTTGGAAACAAGTGGTTGGCAGAAACAAAGATGGATGAGTGTCGGAGTAAGATAAGCCCAGGAACGGGTGGCGGCGAGGCAGGATTAGATAAGTGCTGCACGTGACGGATATGGCTTTCCCGGTTAGGCAGGAGTATAAGCCGGCGGGCTCCAGGCTATTGGCTGTAGTTCAACTAGCAATAATACTCTACAATGAGCATAAGACAAGCACTGAGATTGTCTCACCTGCATGCTGTATTATCACATGCGGGGCTCTGACATGCTCTGAAGCCTCATTAGCGTTACTTCTCCCTTCTCACTTTCTACCTTGATATATTGCCCTCTCCTGGGTGTAAGTGAAAAGGAGAGGCAATTTGGACGACACTGAAGTGTACCTAAGTTAGTACCTAGTAGTCACCTACTAAATTAGCATATCTGCCTCTACTAACCTATTACCACAATCCCACTAGCCCCCCCCTCCCCCAATCGATGATGAACCCATATATTGCCGTCTCCCCTCTCCCTCCGCCTAATAGTCCCCTGTCACATTCTCCCAAACCACCCATCATGCCTCCCAAGCTCACCAGCTATTCCCGCCCCGGCCGCGGCCAACACTTCCAAGACGAATATGGCTTCTCCGAAGCCTGCATTGCCGGCGACAGAATGGAAATTGCCGGACAGAGTCAGTTCCAGTTTTACCCCGTGCCACCCACTCCACCTCCATTCGATTACCATTAGACTCCCCACCATAGACCTCCCATTATAGAGCCTCACCCTACCCCCCCTGAAGCCCTAGCACCCGAAACCCGAAGCCCCCCAACCCCCCAAACTAACCCCCTCGCAAACGCAAAAGCCGGAATGTCCCCAACCTCCACAACCATCCCCCCAACCCTCGAAGAAGAAGTCGCCCAGGCCTTCGCCAACATCAACGAGGTGATCCTGTACGCGCTGGAGCGGGCGCGGCCGGACCTGCGCGCCCAGGTGGCCACCGGGTGGGATCTGGTCACCAAGCTGCGCACCTACCACGTGAACCTGCCGAAGACCCGGGAGACGATCATCGAGCTGATGGTGGACGAGGTCCGCAGGTGGTGCCCCGGGCACCAGCCGACGTGGACGATGCTGGGGATTGAGGCATTGCCGTTCGAGGGCCAGAATCTGGAGGTCGAAGTGGATGTTTATCTGGGTTCGGGGGTGTAGGTCCTCCTTGTTTCTTTTGAGAGGGGGGATGGGTTGAGGAGTTGGGGAGTTGGGAGGTGGCTTCGTTGTTGTCACATGAAATGAGACTGTATGGATGTTGTATGCATGTACATAGTATGTTCTGAAGCGGCTATGGTTGACGTATCAAGTGTTGCACAGATGCGGATTTACCCGTGCTAATAGTGGGTTCTTCCTCTCTGTCTATTCAAGTAGAGACATCTTTTGCTTTCATCTGTCGGAGGGCTAAAGGCTAAACCTGAGCTGGAATGTTTTTGAGCACCATTTGGGGGCTTTGCAAGCCTTTATACATATACTTTACCCTGAACTGTGTGCTGCATCAGACTACAGCCTCAATCTCCGGAATTCGGGTGGATAGACTTGCTTTTCTTGTCTTTTTTCCCCTCTAATTTTCTTGAAAAAGGACGCTAGTCATGTAGTTAAGGTACAGAAAACCCTGAGTGAAGAACAATTATTTGAGCATTTCAGGTAGAATAATAAAGAAACAAACTCCCTTTTCGAGACAGAAAGTAGATTTCATAGGCCTATCACATGACATAATCATGAATAGCGGACGGGCCGTTCTCGTTATACTCCACCCGGGTCATGAAACCCTTGCTGAGACCCTGGTCGAGCACGAAAACGACCTTGGATGCGACCTGGGCCCCTAGGAAGACCGCCTCCTCCATGCCGTGGCCACCGCTTGCCACGCCGGGGCCGCCAGGGCCAGCTGCTCCGGGTGTGTTGGTGTTGGCCTGCTCTTTCCATTCGGAAAAGTACTCCGGAGGGCGCAGCGTCTTGACCGAGGTGGGGGTTTGGGAGTGCCCCGTGGACCGGTGGTGATGCGACATCGATGTGGGATCGATCAGTGGGGTTCCGGGGGGGAGGCTGGAGGACGCCGGGTTGTTGGAGTGGGTGGCAGCGACAAGGAGAGGATTGACACCGTGACCAGCAGGGTGGTTCATCGGACCAGGCTGGCCAGAGGGGGCAGGAGTGTTGGTTCCTCCTGTCGGAAGAGGGGTGGAGAAGTTGGAAGGGATTTCGGAGGTGAACATAGTGGCGGATGGAGAGAGAATGTATTTTTGGGTTATGGCGCCAAGCAGAGATGCCGTGAAGCCTATGAACCAAGATTAGTATAAGGGCCACATTGACAGGTGATGGGATACATACCCTTGATCTTGCTGCCATTGCCGACAACGATCAATGAATCCCAAAGCTCACTCCGCTTGGTGGCATCCGGTACAGCGAGAATCGTGTGGTGGATTTGGGTTGCGATGTCCTCCAAGAGACCGCTGGTTAGGCGCTCGCCGGGATTCTGCTTGGGCGTTGCCGCCAGGAACCGCTCCACGCCGACCTCGATCTCTCGCGTTTGGCGGATGTACCGACCGGGGCCGTTGGTCGCGTCCTTTTCTGACTCTATCCGTACATACTCTTCGAACTGGAATGTAGCCCTTTCTTTTTTCGAGTTGGGCAGACGGACAGGCTTTGCGTTTTGGTCCGTGCTACCCTTCTTGGTCGAAGCCTTCTCCGCCTTTTCCTTCTCGCGGTTGGCGAGGAACTCGCTGGTGTTGCCGCTAACGATAGCTGCGACGTCTAAAACGCCCTCATCCTCGTCGTCGCCGTTGCCCTCAGCTCCGGTCTGGGTGCCATCGCCCGGACCGCGGGGAACAGTCTCATTCGCGCTGCCATTCTGTGCGCCCGTGGACGCAGACGCGGCTGGGTTGACGCCCTGTCGCGCAGTTGCCGCGGTTCCGGGTAGTGGCGTACCGGGAGGGAGAAGCTCGGTGATGTTGCTTCGTTTTAGCTGTTCGCACATCTCCCTGGAGAAGCCCTTGGACCCTAGGAGTTCTACCAGGCGGTCCGTCATGTAGTCTCCACCGCAGCCTTCCAATGCGAGGCCTCTTCCGTGCTCGCTGACAATGAAATCTGTAATAGCTGTAACATCGACCTTGTCCTTCCCAACATCGACCACCGTGGCTGTTGATGTACCGTAGCCGTAACAGACGGCGAGCGCAGAGTCCATCATGCAGAAAGCGGGCGTCTTGAATTTCTCGAAGACGAATTGAGTAATCGTCTCGCGGTCCCGTGCGGACCAGGCCGGTTCTGCGATGAGCATGATAGGGGTGTGGAAAGGAGGACTGAGGGTGTTGTGGACGTGGGTTAGGAGGGCAAAAAAGCATGACCAGTCAACGATGCGACCATTCTCGATGGGATAGATCGCCCCCTCATCCGATGTCACGTCTTCTTCGTAGTAGATCTCTGTGGTCGTAGGTTTCTCTGCTGCGGGATCGGTCGGCTGGCCGTCGGTGGGTTGTGCTTCCTCCTTCTTCGGTTCTGGATTGGCAGAGGCTTCGGGCTGCTCGGTCGTGGCCTCCGTCTTCACAGGGTTTTGTTGGGTGGTGGAATCCGCATCCTTCATCTCCACGTCTTCCTTGGGTGCCTCGGTACCATTGCTGACTGGGACCTCGTGTCGACGCTCGCGGATCTTGTATGGTTCATACTCACCCTTCTTCTCGGCCGGGAACATCCGCGTGGGGAAGCGAAACCGAGCAGGTGTGAATGATTCTGGTAGGCCGAGTTGCGCCAGGGTGACCTGCGAGCCTGGCGCAATTATCTGGACGAATGAGTGTTAGTTCGGGTGGGAATGTAGACTTCAATCGGATGGCGGATATATGACCAGACGGGTGGAGACTGCTGGGACTTACCAGAATGTGTTCATCTTTGAAAGGGGGCATGATGGGCGACTTCAAGTGACGAGGCCTGGGACTGTCGCAATCACGGCGCTGTCTCTCCGCGGTGTTTGCAGCAGCGAGCTTTGCGCGCTAGGATCGGAGGTTGGGCGGAGAACTCAATTCGGCTTAGCGCCGCGGTCGAGCGTGGTCTGTGCTTAATTTACTGACTGGACTATCTATACAAAGTGAATTAATTGTACGTCGCAATCCTCATACGGCCACTCGCCTCAGAATCAAACCTGGATTAAAGGACCTTTGTGGTCATGTCCCGGTAGCACTGGAACAGACCAATCGGGGTTTCTGCATATCGACATCAGATCGTTGCTAGGCTCTTTGAAACCAAGCCCCGCGCTTGGTCTACGACTCGGATATGGCAAGGGTGTAAAACAATAAAAGTGCGCACTCCTGGTTTGTCTCCCAGAAGCGATATAGGATTAAATGAGCCAAACTAGCGAAGCCTCGAGGGACATGAAATACATAACCGACCCTTTTCCCAAGCACGACCCAAACCAACAAACTCCGAATTTCTGTCCTCTGGAATCTCAAACTCCTGAACCTGGATCTCCTATGGCCAGCATGAGATCAAACCACATTACGATGTTTCATGCAAATTCGTTGTCTTTTACTCTGGAGCGGCGTGATATTTCTCGGTCGCGGAGCGGAACAACTCCTGCTGCTGCCGGAGCAGCTCCTCCTCGGACAAGCCGCTTTGTTCCATCTTGCTCTGCTTTTTCTCTCGGGACTAGCGATGGCAAGGCGCGTTAGTTTTTCTTTTTCGCACTATCCCAAGTAAGACATGGGAGCATGCGTACCTTCAACTGTTCCTTGTGTTCTTCTGCAACGGCAAGGACATCGGCGATGTAGTCCCCGAAGCCGAGATCGCGCAGGGCGCGCTCGACATGTTCACACGCGATCGTCTTCTTGGCCTCTTTTTCGCTGATGTCGTTGGCCTCGGAGGAGATCAAGGTGATGAATTCGACGCAGCATTCCATCAGCAGATCGCGAGCATCTTTGGAGAAAGTCTGACCGGAGGAGGGCGGGAGGATTTCGGTGATAATTTTCTGGACCGTCGCTATAGATTCCGCGGCGGTTAGTCTCTATACGCGTATTCGCTTGCATCGGGCCAAGAACGCGACCGAGGTTGACAAAGAAACCTTTTGCGCCCACGCCCTCTCAGAAAACGCGACGCTCAAGCACGTACCTTTGGGAAGCGACAGGTCGTCGTTTGCTGTAGAATTGTACGAGTCAGCACGTAATTGTATTGCGCCAAGAGAAGAAGGCTGAGCACGTACAACTGAATTCTCGATCCGACATGGTCGACAAATAATGTGTGAAGAAAGAAGGGGGAAAAAAAGGGGTGGGTAGGAGGTAGTCCCGCGCTCGGTGAAGCTGTTCTTCACAAGAAGTATGGCTCGCCCACCGCGCGCGGGGACTAGGATGGTCTAAATAGCTGTGAGGGCCAAATTCCCGGCGGCGCGGAGGGACTCGAACACGGAACGGAAGAACTAGGCTAACACGCTGGGCAGAATTCTACCGCCCTCGTGGGCTTTTATACGGCGCCGAACCTTTGATTTTTTTTCTTTGCTTCTTCATTCGCACAGTGCTCTTCGCACAACAAGGAAACTTGATTTTGGCTTCCTGTTCCAAGTTTTTGCTCCGGCCAATCTTTGTTGGCCAAATGCAACAACAATGGACTAACATAAATGGTATGTGTATTCCTCATTTTCCTTTCCATTCCTTCTTGCAATTTTTACTATGATGAACATCGTTGTCGCCCCTATCAGACCATTCTATGGTGACGTACACTGTCCAAGCCAAACGGACTACTGATATCTTTGCAAAAATCCGCTTTTGTGATCACTCAGAACCTTTCAGGAATTCTTTACTGACTGACTCGAAGATTTCTAGGCAAACTCGATTTGAGATTCGATACCAAAGATATTGATATAATGAAATCAACTTTTTCTTTTCTGCTTACAAAATCTTTTGTAAAATTTCTTCCCACAATAGAATAGCTAAAGGTATGCTTTTGCAATTCTCCATCTTTACACCCCCCTGTTATGTGATGAACAACCTACATTCCATGCTAAGTATGAAGGTGTGCTACACCTAATGCTTCTAAAATGTACCTGCTTTTCATCTTTCGGCTGATCAAAACAACTCTATCTTGATTCTTGTTCTATGAATTCCTTTGATAGTAGTATATGCTAACTGGCTTTGAAGTGAATGCAGGATTCGAGTGTAGATCTATTCCTGGAAATCCTCCAGAAGGGCGTCGTTCCAACTGGGAGACGCACGTTAGTTAGAACTTCACAATGGCAGAAATTTTCCCACAACTTACTTCAAGAATTTTCCACTCAATGAGCTCGGGGCAACCAGCACCAGCTTCGCCATGACATGGCTTGGTTGCTCCACCTTAAGCAGCTTGCCGCTCTCGTAGGCTCCTGTGAACTTGGCGTGCACCTGAGGCTCCAGTGTCGTAGCATGGTCCTCGCGCAATTGGCGCTGCATCTCGGTGTCGACCATCCCGGGGCGGATGGAAATGCTGGTGACATCCGGTTCCTCCTCGCCCAAGGTCAGGGCAAGGTGGTTCATGGCGGCCTTGGTCGCACCGTAGAGACCCCATCCCCTGTAGGCGGACACGGCGGCACCCGACGAGGTGAAGATGATTTTGCCCTTAGATTCCCGCAGTGCTGGAAGCCCGGCTTTGACCTATCGTGGGCTGTGTGTTAGCTCCCTCTCTGGGCCTCGGGGCTCCAATTCGGTGCAAGCAACTCACAAACGCGACCAAGCTCATGAAGTTGACGTCGAATCCTTGCTTCCACTGTTCCGGGTCGGCTTCCGCAACCTTGCCGACTTGTCCGAGGATGCCGTGGTTGAGGACCATGCCGTCCAGACGGCCAAAGGTCTTGAGCGCCAGGTCGACTGACTTCTGAGCGAGGGAGAAGTCGGACAGGTCGCCGTTCAGGACCGCGACTTGCTGGGAGTATTGATCCTTGAGCTTCTGGAGGGGCTCCACGCTGCGGGCGATCACGACGACATTGTGCGATTGCGGCGCAGTGAGGAGGTATTTCGCGATGGCGAGGCCGATGCCTATAATAGAGATGAAGTGTCAGTCAGGACGGAGCTACTGTCTCGCGGGGGGCGTCAATTAGTTACCTCTCGAGGCACCGGTGACAATAATGGTCTTGCTCGACATCTCTTTGGGGATCTGATTAGGTTCGTGGGAAACGAGGAGGGCAGGAAGAACGTGCGGGGTGCCAAGCTGATTGGAGTGAAGCTGCAGCAGACACTCCGCGGGAGAAAAAAAAGCTGGTCCCCGGGGCGGTGATGTAATTGAGGGGAACGTGGGGTGGTTGTTGTTGTTGTTCTGCCCGCCGCGGCTTGCTTCTGCTTCTTACTCATTGATCCGTACGTACCTACGTACATGACTACCTTCAAGGTTACAGTAAATTAGAGTGCCTTTTAGGCAATTGAATCCTGCATGACTCAATTGAGGATTGCCGGTCTCAATTCAAGAGGCGGATTTACTAAGTACTACCGGTACCCTATGTATAAGAGTCCTAGAACGGCCAGGATGAGTTGCCACCAGGCCATCGACAATCGGCGGAAGGCTCCCAGGCTAAGAACTATACTATGAGTACCTTGTGTATACACATGCAACAATGACAATGATAGACTTGACAATGCCTGGTAACTCAATCATCCATAGCTTGTGATAGACAGACGGCCGTAACTTTGTGGTCAAGTGACCGAATGCGGGGTGCATTGGTTATGCACAACATCTGCAGCGCAAGACATATCTTGTCTACTTGCACTACAGTTTGCCATCTGTCCTACGTGATCAATCTGCAACTGAATTCCTGGCGTTATCTAGTATACCTACAACGTAATCATGCAATAGCATCGGCCACTTCACCGAGCGCAAACGGCAGAATGATTTACCGTGGAAAACGGGTTCCAAACCTTGTTACTCCACTCCGGAGCGCAAGGCCGAAGTCGGGGCCCCCGGGGAACTCTATGCTCCCAGTGTTGCACCATCTGATTTGATGCTCATTACTGGCTGTAGGAATTGATGATAGTCGTACACCGGGCCGGTTCCTGGTGAGCAGCCGGTCTGGTATCTGATAAGGTCATTTCGCTGCGATAATTTATCAAATGGTCTGGTCTAGACTAGGTTTACCCTGCGAGATCTATATGGAGGATCGATTTCCTGGACAGAATTCTATAGCCAGTGCTCTTGACTTGACCCATACACACTGCAACTGTGAACTATCATCCAAAACCTTTATCTCTCACCATGGCGACTGTCATTCTTGGAGGAGGAATCATTGGAACCTCCATCGCCTATTACCTCTCCGAAGGCCAATCTGCAGAGAACATCCATGTGGTGGACTCCTCCTCCGAGCTCTTTTGTTCTTCGTCCGGCTATGCTGCTGGATTTATGGCCAGGGACTGGTTTGCCCCTTCTCTCGCACCATTGGGAGACCTTTCATTCAAGCTACATGAGTCCCTAGCTGCCGAGAAGGGCGGCGCGGAGGAATGGGGATACATGAAAGGCAGTGCACTGAGCCTGGGAGTTGCAGCGAAGAAGGGAGGCAAACGTGGGAATGATTGGCTTCGCACGGGAACCAGCCGGGCAGAAACCGCAGCTGGATCGGAGCCGATCATTGCAGAGCCACCGTCGTGGTTGACAAAGCAGCATGGGGCAGAGACGCTGAAGATTAGTGAGGATGATGACACTGCTCAAGTGTAAGTGATCCCCTTTTCACTTCCACCGAAACTATGACCTAACGTCATAAGTGATCCTCTGAGACTGTGCAAATTCCTCCTAAGGGCCTGCGTTGAACGAGGAGTCAAGGTTCACAATCCTGCAAAAGCTGTGTCTATTCTACAAGGGAAAAATGGATTCATCACGGCTGTGAAGACTGTGAATCTTGAAACGAAAGCTGAATCTACAATCGCTTGCTCGAACCTCATCCTCTGCGCCGGTCCGTGGACACAGCGAGTCTTGCAGGAGTTGTTCCCCGCGTCTCAAATTTCGCTCCCCATCTATCCCTTGGCTGGCTACTCGCTGGTTCTGCGCTCCCCACGGTACACCGTGGAGCACGAGCAAACGACATACAAGGGCCGGAGCCAGGCCCTGTTCACAACATACCCCCCGAACTGCGGCTTCTGCCCGGAGTTGTTCTCGCGACAGGGAGCAGAGGTCTATATTGCAGGCTTGAATACAAGGGATATTCCCCTTCCGGAAAGAGCAGACGACTACCCCAAGTCGATGGAGCAGAAGGAGATGAACAGGCTCAAAGCCGTTTCTGTCCGTCTTCTTGGAAAACTTGCGAAGGGCAGCTCTGAGGCTACCGACGAGATCACGAATACTGACGACTTGGAAGTCATCCGCGAAGGGCTGTGCTTCCGGCCCGCTTCAGAGTGCGGAACTCCCTTCGTTGGAAAGATCAATGACAATCTGTTAGGAGAGAGCATTAAAGCCGCCGGAGGAGTGTATGTTGCGGCGGGCCATGGCCCCTGGGGCATTTCGCTTAGTCTAGGAACTGGCAAAGTTATTGCTGAAATGGTGAAAGGTGTTAAACCTTCGGCGGATGTGAGCGGTTTGGGTGTGAACAAAGTGGAAAGATAGTCGAAGTTGTAATTTGATATTATACTGATTCAATTCCAGTTGCAACTGTTAGCAACTAATTTATGAAAATTGAAGATACGGTTTTGGAACATTTAAATAATTATTACCCTATATTGAGATTCAGGAACATCACCGCGAGGTTTACATATATCATCAACCTATCTTTAACCCCTACGTTACAATCCAGTTTTAACCTTATGAAATGCTATATGCAAGTGTCCGCAACTATTTCGCAGCCAGCTTGCAATCTTCACCTCTGAGGTCCTTTTTCCACTAGGTAAATTAGAGAGAAACATATATCCCCAGAATTTACCACTATTATTAGCAGGTATATATAGTTTATCGAAGCCGTTCCTGTAGTTGGTCTAGATAGTTGATGCCAGCGATTGTAGCCTGAGGCACCAGAACCTTCTCCGGGCTTAGTCATTCTCACCGCCACGAGCTCGAGCTGTCCAGAAACTTCAATGAGAAGCTGGGGAAACCGTTCAGGAACAAACAACTCTGCCTCCGTGCCCTCGCGCGTTTATCTTTCTCACTTACTATTACACTCCCTTGCTTGATTTCTGAGCATCTACTCGCGTTTCTCTCCAGTCATCCTACCTAATCTCAGGATCATCGCCTCGGCGCATCACATAACACCATGGCTAACTACCTCGCCTCCATTTTCGGTACAGAACAAGACAAGGTCAACTGCTCCTTCTACTACAAGATCGGTGCCTGTCGACACGGTGATCGCTGCTCGCGCAAGCATGTCAAGCCCTCGTACTCGCAGACCATCCTGATGCCGAACATGTACCAAAATCCCGCCTACGACCCGAAGAACAAGATGAACCCGAGTCAGCTGCAGAACCACTTTGATGCATTCTATGAGGATGTGTGGTGTGAGATGTGCAAGTACGGCGAATTGGAGGAGCTGGTTGTTTGCGACAACAACAATGACCGTATGTTTGGCCCCCTTCCCAAGCCTCCCTCCGCAAACCTTTAAACTGCCTCAAATGACTAATGCATTGATTCTCGCCAACAGACTTGATTGGCAACGTCTACGCCCGCTTCAAGTACGAGGAAGACGCACAGGCCGCCTGTGATGCGCTAAACTCGCGATGGTACGCAGCGCGACCGATATACTGCGAGTTATCACCGGTGACGGACTTCCGGGAAGCGTGCTGTCGGCTGAATAGCGGGGAAGGCTGCGTCCGTGGCGGCTTTTGCAATTTCATTCATCGCAAGGATCCCAGTAATGAGCTGGATCGGGAGTTGCGGTTGAGTACGAAGAAGTGGCTGAAGGACCGGGGACGCGATGCTCGGAGTGTCAGTCGCAGTCCCAGCCCGGAGCCCACCCGGCGGAGATACTAGGTTGTTGTTCTTGTTCGTTGTGGGGGAAAAGGGTCCATGAGCTTTGGGATTCGTCGCTTCTTCTCTTTCTTCTCTTTCTTTTCATTTCTCTTAATCATCATCTGTATAACGATTTGTGGCGTTTATCGGGGAAGTCTGAACCTCATCATGACATTGTCACTTGTATCCTCGATTCTTATTCTTTTTTTGCTTTGGATTTGGTTGTCTTCTTCATGGTACCATGATGTCTAAGCTTTATCGCGATGCTAGTGCATTAATCTGGAATGAGATAATCATATCATAGACCAAATTTGTCCTAAGTGTCCGTATTCACTGCAACAAAGAACCCCCCGGGGCTCTTGGCGGGTAGCCTTTCTTTTCTCCCCAAAATCAATACTACCAAACGCGGGGAGCGCGTGCCGCATCGCGTCTTCCGCAATTCTTTGTCCCCTCATTTCCCTTCTGTTAGTCCTAAGTAAAGACATAAAATCGCTCCACTTCCATTCCTTTGCCATCTCTACATGAATCCAGGTCCTCTCCAAAGCTGTTACAACCTTCTCTCATAACGATGGTCCGAGAAACCGGCCCCTACAATTACAATGACACCAACCGCGCCTTTCTCCAGGCCTTCATGGGCCGCTCGACCATGACCTTCGAGGAGGCCAAACCCGTATTAGCTGCGATCTTCTCAGCGCATGGTACTGACCCTCGTCCCTATTCTGAAGTATAGCGAGTCACATTATACTGTCTTTCAAGTCAATGGAGCGACGCTGACCGTCCCCGCCTCGATAGAGAAACAGCCTGTCTCCCCCGAGGAGATCACCGAGGACGAATTACAATCCTACATCGCGACCGCTAACAACGCTATCTCGCCATTTGACCTCGAGATCCGCAGCACCCTGCCACAGATAGAAGTTGACCGGCGCCAGACGACAGCCGTCCCCCCGCCGGAGCGGGTGTACGCGCTGGTGAATACGACGAGCGATGCGCTGACGCAACTGGCGACGACATACTCGGCGGACGAGATCGCCTACGTCAAGCGGTTGCTGGATGCGATGTTCGAGACGCATAACACGCGACGCTGCGAGGCGATGGCGGTGAGCGGGATGCAGGCGTTGCAGCTGGCCAAAGTTTCCGGGGACGGCGGCAGCCAGCAGCGCAGGGAGTCCGGGTTGCAGTCGCAGCCGACGCTGACGCAGGGCACAACGCAGCAGCCGGACTCGCAGGTGGTGGGTGGGGTGGTGCAGTCGTTGACGATGTCGCAGGCGGAGGCGTTGCTGAAGCAGTTGGTCGAGGAAGGGTGGTTCGGGAAGAGTCCCAAGGGGTTCTATAGCCTTAGTCCGCGGGGCTTGATAGAGCTGCGGGGGTGGTTGGTTGCGACATATAACGACGAGGCGGAGGGGATCCGGAAGATCAAGTTCTGTGCTGCGTGCAAGGATTTGATTACTGCGGTGAGTTTCTGATATGCGTCTTTGATTGATGTGTGCCGTACGACGAGGCATGGAATGAAGGCTGACTTGGCGCTGGGGATAGGGTCAACGGTGTGGCGATCGAGATTGCCTGGGAAGATTGCATGATCACTGCATGCGCCACTTCTTCCGCTCTCAGCAGGCTGAGGTCTGTCCGGTGTGTAAGGATACCTGGCCGGGTGACAAGTTCGTCGGCGAGAGAGCAGTCACACAGGCTGATCAGGAGCTGCACGCCCGGAGAAGAAGGAGCTTGAATACCCAGCGGCCGAGCGATGCAGCTGAGCCGAGCACCCAGCTTGAACTTGCACCAGTGGAGGAAGATGAAGGCAGTGACTGAAGAACGCGGATATCTGGAATCATGAATGATATCCTGAGACCTCGCACATGCGAAGATATACCGCCGGTCAACTACTGCACTTCGCTTGTGTGGCATCCGGGCTTTTCTCTTCGGAGCTTACCCCGAAGACCTCCACTATATCCCGAGCAAGCCATACAAATGGTTGCGTGCGTGGGAGAGCTGCTCGATCAAACTGTCGCCTCATGGGGCTGAGCTGTTTATTCTGAATTTGTCTCGAAACCATAGAAGCAAGGCCACCGACAATGCAGCAAGCAATGCATCCAGTATCCAGCATCCAGCTCCTGCGACCCAAGTCCAAGTTTGACTTCGGAAGCTGTATACAGAACATGGATATCACTTCGCTTGGAATGAATATCATTATTACAAGATACCATGTGACGCATTTCTGTTACCTGATTACGCTTTGGGATATTGTGAAATGAATTGAGTTAGTCAACATAGAGCTTCCAGCATTTCTCGCAACGAGGTTCAAAGTGGCAGCTTCCGGAAGGAGCAACTGTAGCCGATCGTCCGGTAAATATCCCCTGGCCTTCCTTCAAGCATCATAAGCATTACAACCAACATCATTATTATTCCTAGTATCAAAATCATCTTTTTTGTTTCGTCTTTGCTCTGCTCTACGAAACAGCGATGTTGAGAGATTCCATTTTTCGAACCAAGGTATACAAACCCTCGAGGCTCGACAACATACTTTCCGCCTGGCCGAAGATCCCAGTATCTGCAGCAAGGAAACTGGTCATTAGGGGCGTGTTGATCAGTAGTGGGCTTCTGGCATATTGGTATCTGAAAGGACATCAACGGAATGAAGACACGCATCAGAGGCCTATGGCGAGCAAGATCGTCCAAGACGCGAAGTTCCGACTTGCGACAGAGTGCCACTACTTGACTACCAGGGAAGCTGACGAGCGACTCCGTGCTCACGAAGAACGTTTCGTATGTTCTCGCCTCCGATCGTGCTATGCTGACTGTTCGACTCTATCGAGTTCGCCATGGAAGTCATATCAATGGGTTTCTCAGAGGCTATCGTGCGGCCGCATCTTAGACTTTTGGGCCATTTACAACGACCAAATGTGAGTAGCCCTCTGAGAGACCGCTCCGACTCAGTTTGGCTGACCTGGTGAACAGCGACGTTCCCCTGTGCCGTCATCATTCGGAAAAATTGTTTGCTTTTGTAGCGCTTGAGCTGAATGAGGTGTACTCAGCGGAACCACCACCAGACGCTGAATCACTAAGGCAAGCCATACGGCGTGGATTTGGAACTGCAAGCAATCATCGGATGACCACCTTATTGCGTTCTCGGCAAGGATCAGCTCAGCATACGGCCCTAGACTCACAAATCACTCCAGCACCAGCGCCTCTCCCGGCTGCGCATAAAGCCAAGGAGGAAACCAGCCAGCACAAAGCTCCAGAGTTGCATACCGCAGCACCTCCTCTATTTCCAGGGGCTGCGCATGACTCTAAGGGGGAGACCACCCACCGATGTGCTTTGCTGTTAGTCTACGACCATCAAGATCGGGTTTTGCATGTGGCATCGACAGGTAATTGTCGCGCAGTATTGGGTCGTCGCAGTAGGCGAACAAGAGAATCATGGACGGCCACGGTGATCCCTGTAGATCAACAAATGCACAATAATCTTGTGCATCCAGGAGGGCCATATCTGCTTAGAAACAGCCCGCTTCTGGGGACCCTCGGACTCTTATGGGGCCAGAAAAGTTTGCCTGGGGCTCACAAGTCGGATGATAATACCCTGACGATTCCGAGACCAACTATCTTACAACTCACCCCCGAGCCACTTGTGACTAGTGTTGAGGTCGAGCCTGGGAGTGGATGTTTCGTTGTGATGGCCTCGGGTAGACTGTGGGAGTGCTTGAGTGCGGTGGAAGTTGTGGCACTGGTAGGACGATGGATGGACGAGCCGAAGAACACAGGCACTGAGGAGGGCCTCAAAGGATGGACCAAGTACATTAACTCGGTGGGCTTGACAACAGTGTCCAATCGTGCTCTGACCGGCCAAGGAAGACTGTCCCAAAGAACTTTGAACTTCACGAGTCCAGATGAAAGGTTCGTGTTGGAGGATGGAAATGCTGCATCTCATCTTATCCGGAACGCTCTTGGAGGGAGGCTGCAGAGCCAGCCCTTGAGTGCTTGGCTCAGGTTCTCGCTCTTGCTTGGCAGGGGGTATCCTGCTGACATGACAACCTCAGTTGTTTTCTTTGGTGTCAAACCCCCAGATGTGGGCGAAAGGTTCAGAGGTCTGGCAAAACTAGCATATCAATGCAGGGTTTTGATTGCAAGGTTGGCCGTTGACATCACGATTAGGTCTGCTGAACTTGCTCAAGCATTGGCTCCAGTTTAGTAGTGTTGATTTAGTACCTAGTATAGACTCGACTATAGGAAACATCTCCTTCATCTTTTATTATGCTTCCGTGACCGGAGTCATGGTTCGTTAGATCAATGGTGCTTTTGCTCTAAGCACTGAATTGCCTTCATGTCTCCATGCTGAGGAGGCAGGTTATGCACATGCTCGGACGAACCCAGGCAGAAGCAAAAAGAAATCTCCCCGACTGGGAGTCGAACCCAGGTCTCCCGCGCTTGTTCCCTAGTGGGATTGACAAGCGGAAATCATGACCGTTAGACCATCGAGGATTGGAAGATATACTCCTTTTAGAGGATTGACATCATCAACCACAAGCAAGGAATTCGACCCATGAGCTTTCAGTTTCTGCTGTTTTTCTTCCCCAGTTTTCTCGATGTATCCAGGTATCGTTTCGACTATGCTGAGTAGCCAATAACACATAATCTGATTCACTGGTAGTGCTCTGCGGCACCACCTTGCATGTACAGTACTCTGCTACTCTAACCCTTGTACTCTGCGTGTCTCGCGCAGCTTCCAACGGCAAACTAACAGAATATTCTACACCAACAGGAGACACTTGGGCAAGGTTCGCATGAACGGACCCAGTTTCTGCCGTACCATGGAGGAGCCGACCCGTTGTACCTTGCATGCCGAAGCCGCACGGGTGCTCATTTGCTCCCGATGGGTGGTCGCTCCACTGCGTGCCGAGATCCAGCAAGCAAGCCCGCCTATCGTCATCTTCCTTAGCATTTATTCCGTTTTATAGACAAGAAGATATCGACTCTGTCATCGGATCGTTCTAGTCTGATCCCACAGAATCTGTACATAATATTAACTCTGACCATAATCAAAGCATTGCTTGCACACACGCATTACAGCATGAATAAAGCCCTATTCACATACTCGATACTATTCCAAACGGCAGAGCCAGGTATATACAGTCCAGCAAGTGGAACCCCGACGATCTCAGATCTAAATCCACTTCCTGCTTTAGATTAACCTATAGTACATTCCCCTGTTGATCTCTCTCTATACCCTAGGCAGCGGAAGTAGCTCGGGCCCAGTGTGCTGACTTTTCGCTTCATCAAGCCCAGTCCATCCATGCTTCTCTGCTTCTCTGCTTCTTGCTCAAGCTGTCGGCCTATTCCTCTTCTTCGCAATTCCCCTTTCGTTCTAACAGTCCCTCTTCTTCTTTCCGCTTTTAACGATCAAGTCACTCATTACACTCATTAGAGTAGTCAGTCGCTCATTACGTCTAATCGATCAATCCCTTCTTTTCAGCTGCAACGCCCGGTTTCAAAAAGCAACAGAAGCAACCACTCTTTCAGACTAAGAACAAAGCAACCAAAAATACCAACAGCGTCTAACTGTGAGCCTCTTGCACAATACACCCTTGAGAACCAACCAACCTTAAAAAACCACAGGGTCAGGCATACCAGCACCCACAGCGAGGGTACAAATCCCAAACCCACCAAACCAACAAAACAATGCACCTCCTCTCTCCCCTGAGCCTCAACCTCAGCCTCAGCTTCAGCCTCCTCACAACCACAGCCACCTTCCTCCTCCACGCAACCGCCTCACCAACATCGCACACCCACGCCCACGCTCACGGGCACACCCACACCCACACCAACAACCACCGCGCCCTCTCCCTCCTCCCCACCCTCCTCAACCTCAACCTCAACGCCCTCGACCTCACCAAACTCTCGAACATCGATCTCACCGACCCCAACAACAGCGAAACCCTAAACACGCTGAACGAGGTCCTGGACCAGCTGCCGCTGGCCATCGAGTTCTGGGCCCTGAACCGCACCGCCGGGGTCGTGGGCCTGAGTCTCGATATGGGGCTGGCGGAGTTAGCGGACGTTGGGCTGGTGAGTTTGGGGAGTCAGGGGGCGGGGGCGCGAGGTAGGAAGGCTAAGGTGCATGTCAATGTTACGATTACTGGACTGGTGGAGAAGGATTAAAGGGCATCTACATGTTTGTTCTGAGTCAGGGAACTAGATAATTCATAGGTGGCTGTGTTAGATGGACTTGAGGACTGTGCTGTACTGTACATGTAGCCTTGTGTTTGCCTAGGCGATCATGAAGGAATCATATGCGAAGGATGCATGTTTGCAGTGTTGCTTTACCGGGCTCAAGTATCCATTCTACACCGTCTCTGCCTCTCAGGAATAGAAGGAGAACACAATCTCACTATGCTCCTTATATCTTTCTGAAGTCTTCCGGCACCTTCCAGTTGTGGATGCTACACATCCTGATGAATGCGTTCACGGCCTCGTGCCATGAGTAATCGTGCTTCTGGCGAGCATCCAGGCGGGCCGGGTACGGGTCCTTCGACGACATGAGGAGCCGCACCTGCAACAGGACGCTCTCCATGGGGTACAGCGGATTCCAGCCGGAGCCGGTGAGCAGGTCCATACAGATGGCGCCTCCAGCGGTGACATGGCCCCCGCCGCCGGCCGCGAGCGGAACAAACCGTGGCCGGACGACGCGAATGAACGGGGGCGAGTACGGGAATGAGGGCGGGAAGCGGATCTCCAGGAGAATGCACTTGTCCTCGGTGGCGGCCAGGTCCCGTGCCAAAGGTAAGCTGGGATCGAAACTATGCAGGGCCACGAGCCACTGGTACGGATTGTCGACCCGTTCGGGATCAATGTACCAACCAAGCTCAGTCAGCGGGCCGCGCGCCTGGAGCGCTGCGCTGGCTCCCAGCTCCCGCATCAATCTTCTGGTGGCCTGCGAGGTGGCGTCGATAGGAGGTGGCAAGAGCTTGATGTTGGCTGATCTCAGCACTTGCAGCATTTTCGCCGCCAGAGGGTCGAGGATCACGCAGTCACTGTCATCATCCTTTGTTTCGAGTAGGCGGCGATCCTCATCAGAAGTCGCGTCGCTCTCATAACCAACGTCCTCTTTGCAGATACCACCATCACTGACTGAGGGTCTCTGTGCTTGAGCGCTGTGAGTGCGTACCCCGGACAGAGGAATTGTGACGGGTACATCCCCCTGGCCGAGGGCCGTTCGCTTCGGATCCTGCACATAGACGTCTTGTGGGTCCTTGTGGCTGCTAGTGTCCCCCACAGGCTTGGAGCATTTCACAAAAAGGTACCGAGGCATAATCCATGATATCTCCTGCACCACGTACGGGGAGGTGCACACGAACCGCTCTGAACAGTTGACAACCTCGTTCAATGAGATTGCCATTGTAATCCCTAGCTTGCTCGACGGCCAGGACTCCTGGTCGGAGCGAACTCCACAAGAGTAGCTCTCAGAGAGTCTGAAGTCCCGAGCTAGATACACCCCATTTCCGTAACTTCTTCCATTCCTACATTGCTCGAAATGTAGGCCCTGCCGAAGGATACTATGCCAGCTGCTGACTGGGGACCCATGCCAAGCAAAAAGAGTGGGATATTGCTTCTTCCGCGCCTGGACCTCTCGCTTAATAGCTTCCACGAATTCATGCTCCTTGTCGGGGGTTCCTTGAGCGAGTCGAAACTGCATGTGACCGCTCATGCCTGTAACCTTGTGCTCTGGGTCTTTGTTATAGATGATGCAGGATCTATTTGACGACAAGATCCATCGCAAGAAGTACAGTGCTGCAGGGGAGATGCGTTCTTTCCACAAGTCGAGAGTCCGATGGCTAGAACTGCCTTTGATAAACTCAACCATCGGGTCGACTCCCGGGAGCGTATCGAGTAGTCTCACGAACATCACCTGCTTTTCCTCCAGTGTCAAGTTGGCGAAGTCTTGATTATATAGTGTAACCATCACGCTTTGAGATCCGGATTTTCCGATTCCCAAATCATTCTTGCCCTCGAAAACAGGTTCTGAGAGAATGTAGGAGCCATCATCGTTGCGCATACGAACACAATAATGAATCGGAGTGATTTGTTCGTTCGGATTTCTCACCTTCTTTGTGAGAACAACCCACTCGCTGACCTTTAACTCGAGCCGTCCCTGCGGAACGAGTGTGTCGCCAACCAGTTTAGCCCGAACAGCCTGTTTCGATTCCAGATTCGGATGGGGAACTTTGAGAGGAAGGTCGAGACAGTCAGTCAACACTTTTGCCTTGGCACGCCGATAGGCGAAGGACACGAGTAGGTCCACGACCTCAGGATGATGCACAATCTGCCACTCCAGCTTCGGTCCCTTGCCGCATTCGAGATATTGGAAGAGACAGAGCCGCTTCGAGCAAACGTACGGATTCAGTGCCTGGAAGCTGTCAGTTGTCTTGCAGTAACATACTAGACAGAATTCGCTGGCTCGGGTAAAGCGCCGGAGCGCGTATTGCATGGCAATGCGGGGTAAGGACAGGCTCTTTTCGTCCCGGTTGCTGCGAAGGTCATCTTCTTGAACAAAATCCGGTATCCAGGTACCCCAGGCTTCTTCCACAAAATACTTAGGGTCTCTGTCATCTTCAATACCGGGCTTTGTGCCTTGTTGCGTGTCGTAGTACAGCTCCGCCCCTGTCCAGGAGTAACCGTGATCGATTCTAAGCCGTATGATGTCCAGCAGCCGTTCATTGAAGAGATCAGTAAGCATCTCCGTCACAAACGAGGATCTCAGTTTCTCAAGAGCAGAATCTGCGGTGGGATCTGGATTTGGACCGCTCAAAGCTTTTAGTTCTTGTCCGGGAGGATGGAGAGCTTGCAGGGCGGACACCATCGTGGGCTTATACGAGTTGCAAAGACCAACGTACATTTGCGGCATCTGCAACGGATCCGATCGAGATTTATCCTCCAAGCCATAGTATCTGTATGGGTATTTGATGAGGAGGACCAGGTAGTCGGACGGGGAGACATTCCACAGTTGAAGCGCATCGTTGGAGATGTTCAGCCCAGCAACACGACAAGAGGTGGTCACAATGACGCGACCTCGCGTGTCACCCAGAACTCCAACTTTGATTCCGGAATGTTTTGCAGCCCGAAGGTCTTTCTGCAGTCGCTTTTGGACCTCGTCCCAGTCGGGACCGTGACCCATGTCCAAGTCCATCTCACCGTCGGTATCGAAATCATAACCATCGCCGTCGGAGCTGGTATCCATGGTACTGTCGTCGCTTTGACCAGTTAAGTGGTTCAAGAAGCCTTGTAGAAGTGCATCCAGAGGCCGGCCATTGTACTTAGAGCCAATAGACTGCAGTGCCTGGGCAACAAGATCGGAGATTCCTTCGTCGCCCCAGATCAAGTACTCATGCCGAGTAGGGTATGCGGATAGATCTAGTGGTGGGCTTGGTTAGCCGAGATCAGGACACTGATATTTTGGGGGACTTTAAAATACCTGGAACGAGGAGTTGAATGCAACTTTGGTGACCAGCTGGATCACTGTAGGTGAAAGTGAAGGTGTCATCTTGCTGAAGCTTGAAGCCAGTCAACTGAGGATGAGAAGCCTGTCTAGCATCTCGCAGGAAATCCGCGCGGGGCATGGTGATAGGCGGACAGGTAGAGATAGAGAGGGGTGAGGTGGAAGGGGATAGATGTCGAAGAGATGAAAGAGATATGAAAGAGGGACGGAAGAAAGATGGTGGTAGAGGGAGCGGAGAGACGATCCGTGAGATAGATAAAGACTGGGCGGATGATGCAAGGTAAGCAGCTTGTTGGTGAATGTGGCAGGTCAGAACTCGAACATGTGTTCAAGCTCGATACTGTGCTCAATCTGCCTTTTTCAGTACGTTTCCACTTTAGCTGGTTCGCAATCAATGCAGCAGAATTTATCGAGTCCTTCAAGGTGATGATGTTGCTCAGACGTGCAACTCCAATATATAGGACGGCCTGAGCCAATGATAAGACAGCTTCAATAGCCAGGATCCCTTTGTTTTTACCGGACAAAAGTGCATATTGCCAATATGCTCAAAGCATTGCAATGTCTAGTTTTATGCTCTAAGAAAAACACAACAAAGAAACAAAGAAAGAAAAAAAAAAGGCATGGATAATGAAGATTGGATTAATTATCTACACAGTAGTCCACGTGTTAGAGAGCTGCAGTCCGACTAAGGATATTGTAGGATGCTGTAGTTCGAAGCTCGACGGATAAGGCTATTGGGAAATGCCTGAGAGAGACCCGGCTGCTTCATCATTCACCGCAAAGGTAGGTGTACAGTACACTATATTGCTTTCTCAGTCAGACTGGCGATGCGGTAGCTCATAAAGGTTGTATGAGGAAACTGCATTTAAACTCCAACGTTTGGTACGAGTAGTTCCAAAATGATCCAAAAATAGTTAACCTTGAAAGCACTTCAACCGACCGAGGGAGTGTCTCCTCTCCCCAAAGCGGAAATTCTGCTCGTATTCGTTTAAGTTGACTTCATAGTCATGTAGTTTGACTTTCGAGGCAAAAGCTTGGATCTGACCCACTGAAGAAGTGTAACTTGGCTCCATAAAGACCCTGAAGCCCTCCTCACTTTTCAATTTTTCTTTAACGCTGTTCTCCCCGGCGCACAGCTAAGAAACGTCCGTCGCTTTTCTTCGCTATCATCCACCATGCCTCTGAGCATACATCTCAACAACCACAAGCGCTGGTACTCTGGGGGCGAAACGATAAGCGGTCACGTCAAGTTCCAGTGTACTCAAGCGACCGAAATTGATGATATCCGCGTGACTTTCACCGGACGCACCAAAGCCAAAGTCCAGAAAGTCAAGGGATCGGCGGCTCCTTCAGCCAGCTATCGCAGCAAATGTGTGCTGTTTGAGAAGGAGAGAATCCTATCACATCTCAATGGCGGCACACTAGATCCAGGGACTTACGAGTGGCCATTCAATTTCTCGTTTCCCGCCCATGTTCAGTCGCCAGGCTCCTCGTCCGGGTGGTCCGAGAAGCCTCCTTTCCGCAGCGATGTGAATCATCCGCTACCGCCGTCGTTCGCAGTCGAGACGGGGGACTCCCTTCGTAATTTGGAATGCGTGATCGAGTACCGAGTACAGGCTGAAATATCCAAGCCGCAGAGAGGTCTCTTGGGAAAGAGATCGACCTTGTTCAAGGAGACGCTGCACTTGAGATATCTCCCCTCAGCACCGAACGCGGAGAAGAGCGGTGACCAGTCTACCCTTTATCGACAACAAAGAGAGGAAGTTTTCGAGATCCGCAGCATCTTGCTCCTGCCTGAAAACAGAGGGCGAAGTCTAACCTTCCAGGAGAGATTTCAATCATGGGTCTCGGCCAAACTGCCCCGTTTCAGCTTCAAAGCAACGTTCTCCTATCCCACCTGCGTCAAACAAGCATCGGCTATTCCATGCTTGTTAGAAGTCCTCCCATTCATGGAAGACTCATCTGTCAGCCAGCCTCCGGACATTGTACTGCAATCTTTGTCATTGTGGGTGGCCAGTGAAACCGCTGCTCGGGCTGCGCCTTCTCTGATAGGTGCATTGTCAGGACAGGTGGACGAAAAGATCGACTTGCTAAGTCAAAGTCATATCGCGATGCCTGTTATGGGGACTCTAGATCTGTCCCAAGCTTTCGGGCCACTGAGGCTTGGCCGGTCGGACATATCGTTCAGCACGTTCAATCTCAGCAGATCCTACAGACTTTGCGCTTCCTTCGTGTTTGAGTGCGCTGGAAAGTCGGTTGAATTCGATCTCACCGATATGCCATTCGACGTGGTGGCCAAAGTCGAAGCGAACTGGGAGGAAGAAGCACAGAGTTCTTGCGCGCAGGGCTCCCCGCCGCCATATGACCCTGCTTCTAGTGTATCGACACCGAATGATAAAAGATAGACGTCTAGCCCCGTGTGAATGGTGCGACGTGGGCTTCAATCGTTGTATCGGGCCAGGCTTTGACAATGCGGCCGGACTGGAAACTCCTAGATGCAGGGATCGCACGAGGGTGAGATTGGCGGCCGAGAGTTGGCCCTGGTGACGCGGTAGCAGACCAGTTCCCGAGCTAGATGTGGGTTGAAACCCGACCATTTGTCACATTGGGAAATATAATATCCTCGTCTGCTACCTCCGGAGGAGGTCAAAGCCTCTGAATAATCGCTGAGGTGTTGCAGAAACAGCAGAAACAGCAGAACCAGTTAAGCATGAGCTATATCCGTCCCCATGATATGATCTTTGAGCTTCGCCAACCGCGTGATATAATATGTGCTCCTCGAGGAAATATCGAGATTATGCTAAAGGACCAAGTACCTTATCAATGGGGGCTGAATGTAATGTTGAAATCTGGGTACCAACAGTAATAGTAATAAAAATCTTCCGGAAGTCCTCAGAATATTGCTTTGATATGAGGTAGTCCTTGTAGTCCGGAGATAGTAACCATTAAGAATCACTATATATTGCGAGCTTGGACTCTTAAAAAGAAGTCACAAAAATATGGGGACTAGAGCATACCGTTACAGCTGGATAGTTTGGAAATAACTGAGATATCTTCTAACCTGTGTTTATTACCCAATAAGAGCTAGGTATTATTAGGAAGACGATTTGTTGATAGGGCCTAAAACCAGAATAAAGTATACTAGTAGGTTTTTACTAGTCTATTTCTTTTTATTATAGCCAGTTTAACCTTAAATGTTTTTAATCTGCAATATTAATTCTTAGAAATAATCCCTAACAATACTCAGCACCCACTGCCATTAGTTAATCATTTTATTATAGAATGATCTTTGCAAAATAGTATTTCCAGTTGTTTAATATTATAGATTGTAGACTATTTATATATACTTCCCGAAATAATTTTCTCTGTCTTTTTAAGTTTGAGTAAGCCTTGACACAGTCTATATCTCCTTTTAATTTCTGAGAATACCATTGCATTACTTTCAACTACTCGGCCGTTTCTCAAAGGTAACGGCGGGAGACAAGTCTGGATGTACGCTTGGCAGTGCAGGCAGAACAAGCGTCGGGACAATTTATGAAAGGAGGAGAGCCATGATACTCGATAACTGGATATGTATAATAGCTATATCGTCGTCATCGGGTTTGACTTCGACCATAGCTAGCGGCTCATAGAAAAGTATCATCCTAGATGGCTCCTGCTGCTCACCGCTATTGCTTTCAAATATCAACCTCCAGCTGGTACAGTACAAGCCCTGGCAGCTTCTCGAGAGCTGCCCAGGCCGGACATTCGGTTGCGCGCTGTGGTACGACCGGTTGAAATGACAGTGTTCTGCAGTATCCTTCTGCTCCATACAGGCTCATGCCCAAGAGCAGAGCCAAAGTCAGCGGAGCCAACACAGCTTAGCTCTGCGTCGTGGCCGTGGAGGAATGGATGCAAAGACGGGGAGGAAGCCAGAATGTGTAAAAAGCGAGCTTAAAACCGACTGAGATTAGTTGTCCACTATTTGAATATGAAATCACAAGGCTGACTCCCAAGAAATCGAGATAGCCAGTGCTATAAACCTGCGCCGCAAAACCTCTATGATTCACAACATTCAAAGACAGCTCCCGCAAAGCTATCTGAAGTCTCAAGGGCATATAGACCATTTTCACTAAGACACTTGTTACCTATAACATGACTAGATTGTTTGCCTATTTGATTCTAGACCAAATATTCACGACCCCTAACAGTATATCCCTTGTTCACTGATGCAATCCAGCTAATTGATATGACTATGCGAATTATAAAGAGAGTTGGTATAGATTGTTAAAACCGCTCATCGAGTCGAGTTCACTAGATCCCTGCTTATGAAGACATCCATCGCATAGATGATGAGGGTAGGTGGGTGTCTCATTCACTGTGGGCCGGTCGTCGTCCCTCTGCCCTCTGCCCACTCTCTCCCTCCTTTTCTTCTTACCCTTCCTCCTCCTTCTCTTCTTCTTTCTTTTCCCGTACGAGTAAGCTATCATCGTTCGTGAGTATAATCCCCTTCCATGTTCCATTTCACCAATCTCCATCCAGATATCATTGTGTCTCATCTTCATTCCCATCTCTAATTCATCTCCTGTATCTGCTACCTTGTTTTGGTCTTTCTGACGCGTGATACAGGGTTGTTGACAAGTTCGGCTTCACAGAGCATCCCATCTTCTACCATTACTTATCACCCCCCATGTCATCCTCATCTCTATACTTCCTGTATCTTGTTTGACTACATGAAATGAGTGACACATGCGAGCAATCCTGCATCATCTTGTTTTCTCTCACTTGATCTCTTTGCATCTCGTCTCATCTCATCCCATCCCATTCCATGGTGTTCCATCCCAATTATATGTGTTTCATGATGGCTAACAGTCAATCCAGGTCTATCACCGCATAATGCCTCCCTTTACTGAAGTGAGTCGTCCGACTAATAGATGCTAGTATCTCTTTCTTAACTAAACCAGACAAGAGAATGCTTTCAATGCGGTGAGACTGGTCATCTAAAGGCTGTCTGCCCTCAGTTCCGGAGCACAAAAATAGCTAGGCAAGCTGAATTTGTAAGTATATTCTGTTATTCCTCAGTCTATAGAAGTTACTAACATGCTGTTTCAGGTCGTCGCTGTAAGTACGGTTGGCCTTAAGTCTCAACCAGTTTTAACGATGAAATAGGTCGAGAGAGAACTTTCCGCCGCCCCCGCCCGCGTCTCCCCCTCTTCCTACGTAGGCCCTCGAGCCCCGTGCCCGCCAATCGGGGCGCCGCCCATCACGGCCGCAATGAGCGGCGGCGGCGGCAGCAGCAGCAGCAGCAGCGGCAGCCGCATGTGGAGGAGATTGAGGAGGAGGATACGCCCGCCCCTGGTGCCCTCAGACCCCCTGGTGCCCTTCGCAATTCCCTGGCCCCGCCTGCCCCGGGCGGCCCCAGCGACCCCCGGCCCCCCCCGGCCCCGCCCGGGCCCTGGCCCGGGCCCCCGCTGCCCCCGCGTTCTCCCGGGACAAGCAGCTCCTCGAATTCATGCAGGAGACGCGCCGAGAGCAAGCAGCCTTTAGGACTCGGCTGAATCTGCTCGGTGATATGATGGCAGAGCTCGAGGCGGCCGTAGAAGCGCTAGCGGGTCCTTGTCAACAGGTGGACACTAGCGAGGCCATTGTCAAAAAGGAGTGAGTACCTCTATCTATAAGCCATACATAGGACTGACATTAGTCGTAATAGAGCGTCGTAATAAATGAACACAGCTTATCGTGGCGGTCCCATTGACATCTCTGGCGGCAAATCCTTCAAGTTCGATGACTAGATGCTGTGTTTCAGCCGTGAAATACCCCATCCTGTTCACTTTTCGCTATCGATTTCGTCGAGGGGTTTTGTGATCAACTTGGCCTAGCTTTCCATGTGCCCTGGCTACATCACAGAGGCTGCTAGACTTGGTCAACCAATCCCGGGAGAAAAAGCCGTTCTCTGTCAAAGTATTAGATAATCGGATCTAGATGTGTTCCTTTGGATCAGAGGGTCCCTCAAAAATGCTTGCTTCTTGCAGCAATGCGCTAATGGAACCGGTCGGAATTCCATTTTCTTTTTCCAATCAACATTTCTGATTGTCTTCTATTCTTGATTAAAGGTATATAAAGGTAAAATTCTGACCTCATTACAAGTAACTAGCATCATTGGTCTAGTGGTAGAATTCATCGTTGCCATCGATGAGGCCCGTGTTCGATTCACGGATGATGCACTCACTTTTTGCTTTTCTCTATCACTCCTGCGCGGCTTCTCCACAAGTATACCTTTCAAATCCTACCCAGCCTACTCGCCTAGTTTTGTTTTCAACTTCAGCCACATACCCGGCTCTGGAAACCGCCGACCTGTTGTATTTTATCTCAGAATAAACCTCAACGAACAGTGACGCCGTGACCAGATCATTGCAGTCAGAAACCCCCCTCGCCTTTCCAGAGCACACCAAAGCTCTCAGATACAGGCTGCGCTCTCTGCAACACCTAGCACTACTCCGAATCCTCCTCAGCATTCGCCAAGCTCTGCTCGTTGGTGAACCGCGTGTTCCGGGTGCAGAGAGCGAACGCGATTAGTGGCACGGTGAGACATATGCCGGTGATACACAGCAGCTTCTGCGCATCCCCATTGGCATCGACGACTGCCTCCCACCCAGTTAGGCGAGGTGCCATTGAGGCAGGAAGTAGACTGTCCAGCACTAGCGACATGAGATAGCATCCTCTGTTTCTTCTTATACCTAGGCTCTAGCTCTTGTGACTTTGCAGTATAAGTTCAGGGTACTAGAATTTACTTCAATCGGCAGCCCTTCGGCCTCTATAGCCGGGCTGCTTACCGCCCGCCACGGCGGATGTTGATTGCTACAGTACATAATGCCTTTTGGATAGCCTCACGTAGTCATATTCATCACTTATCCACGTCTCCAACAACTCTGTACTGTGAGGGCTGAGCCTAAATCTGAATGAAGACAATCAATCCAAAGTTAACACTCCTCAGCATTCCCATTCTGCCACCCTGTTCAAGGACACGCAACCCAACCCCCTCATCAACTTACTACCCTCACGACCTCAGTACCAAAGATACAGCATCTATCGCAGCAGGATACATGCACGCTCTTAGGCTACTGTAATGGACGCAGACCCAGACGAGTAGTAGCCTTCCGTAGCGACGATCTGATAGTTGTGGGTGCCCAGATTCATGCCCAGCTTCGCCCAGGCATTGAAGTGGTTGGCAGTCGTCACGGTACCGCCGACGCGCTTTGTCTGACGGATGGACCAATACTGGGTGAAGGTGGCCGTGCCCTGGATGGAGGGGGCGTTGGTGCGGGTCGCCGTGTAGATATTGTACGTCGATCCGTCAGAGTAGACCGTGCCTTTGTAGGTGCCAGCGGAGCCAGGGTTGTACTCCCCGTAGTCCTCCAGGATGTAGTACTCGACGAGGGGACCGGTGGTCCAGCCGTAGACGGAGAGGTAGCTGTTGCTGTTTCCGGTGCTGGTCCAGGAGCCGGAGTATGTGATATCGCTGTAGGGCGGGTCAGTCCATGTGCTCGTAGGGAGAAACTAGAAAAGAAGGGACAGCAAAGCAATTGCTCAGCGATCGATGACTTACTGAGCACTTCCAGGGTTCCAGCCCTTTCCACCGACGAAGTTCGAGGCTGATGACCAGGTCACGCTGTAGGACCCCCCGGCACCGTTGCTGTATTCGACATCGCCGCTGGCGCCGTCGGTCCAGAAGCTGTAATAATAGCCGTTTGAGTAGCCAGTGGAACTGCCAGTCGAGCGCTCAGCAAGAGCAGAAAAGAAGTTGGGGCCCCGTTCCTCGACCGGCTCGGCCTCGGCGGCGGGGGCAGCGAAGGCTTTGACTGCTAGAGCGCAGGCGAGAAGGAACTGAGACAGGCGAGCCATTGCGATTCAGTGAATTGGAAGTAGATCTTGTGAGACCTGGAGTTGATATTCTCCTAGGGTATGGATTGAACGCGTTTTTATAGTCTTTCTAGAGACTTGATTTAGCCGGGATGGTTGTGAAGACCAGGACGTGAAACGAAGGAGTCGTCTTGGCTTCGGCACTTGCAGATCTTTAGCCGGGTCGGAACATATGCCGAACCTGAAACGGAAGCAGTGTCGATCCCTCAATCTGCCTAAATGAAGATCTACCCCGGATCATGGCTAATCCTCACTTCTTCATCGCTTGGGTAATATTCGTGCAGGACGGTGAGGATGGTTGTTTCCTGGGGGTTGAAGTGGGGTTGTAGGGCTGCTCTGTCATAGCCGGTTAAGTTGGAGTGGCCCTCCAGAGCTTCAGGGTCTGGCACCCTTTCCATGCTAGTGTCTGCTTCGATTGAGGCAGATAATTAACCGGCTTAAAGGTGCTAGGAAACCCCCGTGTTAGATCTGTTCGCAGCACGGAGGACTCGCCCGAGGAATAGTAGGCATTCCAGGTGTGCGTCCCGATATATGGGACCGTCGAGTAAGTCACCTTATCAGCAGCCTTTACCAATATCTAGATTAACTGGAATCTGACCTCGTCAATGGGCTGATTGCTGAAGATATGCTCAATCTGCTGAAGTATGGATCTTAATTGAGACAAGACTTAGGTATGAGGAGGCGCACGTTTGCCCCTAAACAGACAAATAATCGAAGCCAACGAATGTGTATTCCCCACACGTAGATTGATTGTATCATTCTGAATAATCAAAACTTGGCAAAGTCACTGGAACTCTACACCAAAACGCACGTCCATTATGCTTCGATACGGACCGATCAATCCCCACGGGGAGGTGGAACTGATTGATAAGATTGATAAGGGCTCAAGCGTGAAGTAATGCTTACCATTGGCTGCATAAATGAAGGCAGAAAGGCACAAGATCATTTGATTCTTCCGAGGCCGGTAGGGTCTATTTGCACCGCAAGAATACCTGTGATACTGGGAATAATCAATGATCGAATCCTTAATGTCTTTCAAGCCCACTGAGAATTGATCATTGGAATGGCACCCTATCACTAATGGTCAAAGCGGAGATCTCGATCGACTGCCTTGGCAACTAAAGAACTCCAGGTTATGTCCTGTACAGTATGGTAAAAGGGCAAGTCTTTTCTACTGCAGTAGAATGAAAGCATGAAACATCTCTTAGAGAAGTAGTGGAAAGCTACAGGTAGCTTGACGTATGTATGAGCGAAGCAGAGGATCGAAACGCTAACCATAAATCCGAGCCGCCAGCCCCTCCCGAAAACATCATGCCATGCGAAAGAAACCTAGAACAAGGCCTGACAGTCCACAAACCTTTGAAACCGATCATCGGGAGAGACGATAGATGCTATCACGTGTACACTTTGCAACTTGAATCCATCATTCCGTCAAGTCATCGGCAATCAGGTAATCGGCAACAACCGTCGTCTTTGAGAGGACAGGCCCGAAAGAGCTAGGTTTCATCTGCCGGGTGGCTCCAAATGAGGATAGGCCAGGAACATCCATGCTGGCGAGCTATGTGGAATACAGTCTATGGCCGAGCACCAAGTCGGAAATCCCGCGCAGAGCACAAGAGAACCCACGCCAGGACCGACCTGAAAATTTCTACTCTGGGACAAACAATGAGGAGAATTTCCAGAACCACGATCGAAGAAGTCTAGACTCCACCCACACGGGTAGCATCAACCCACATTCCACACTCTCACGTTCCCACGTCGGAACCCGACGAAAACTCTCCGGGGAATACTCCGTACTTTAATCGAGTTGGCAGAACACATCGGAACCTATTACTCAACAGAATAGAGCACGAAAAGGGGAGCAGGCATGATTGAACGGAAGCCCTTCAGCTGAGTTCTCCATGAAAAAAAAAAAAAAAAAAAAAAATGACTAGACTATTGTAGTCCACTAGCGTCGCTATCGGGAAGCTGCCACTGGCGCTAGGAGCCGAGAAGGCAGCAGAGCTGAGACCGTGTGTGCGTGCCCTAAAGAGGAAGTCTTCACGTCGAACGTAAGAAAAGTAGACGGGTCCTGTAGAGCAACACAGGAAAGGGGTCTTGGAAGGGGGTCCTGTTGCACGAGAAGTGTGCTAACGCGGGGTATATGACGGAGGAAAGTACAGTGCATAAGACGAAGGATTGACTAGGATGACTCGTCACTCTGTGTAGCAAGGCAGAGACGGGGGGAGGGAAATCAAGGTTGATTCGGATGACCAAGACGAGGGTCGTCGTATAATCGGCTCCACATGCCATCCATACTCGGGATTGGTATTTTATCGGCGACTATTGGCGATAATCGGCGTATTCGAAAAAGGAGAACAACCCAGAAACGAGGAGATTAGGTCGAGACTTTCAGGCAGATTATCCGGGGAAAACGCGGGATCGCGAGGCTGGGGAGCTTCGGCACCGGCCAACGGGGGTGGGCGGGGTAATGCATTAGCCGCCTTCGGAGCCCAACGATCAACAATCGATCCGGCTGCTCGTCTGACAGTTGAGACTCAGTCGCCTGGGATTCTTCGGCTTGCTGATAGCAGGTGGTTTTGTCTGCAATTTCCAACCCGAATTGTGACTCTCACTCCTCAGCGGCAAAACATCGGGAGAAAAAAGAAGTTCTCGAGTCCGCGGATTAGGGCTAGCTTGTTGCCAGACCCTATACCACATGAGCCGATATGACCGACCCTATCACCGCTATCGATGAATACGAAGCGCTAAGTTACCAGACGTTCGAGGGTATTATATTCGTAAATTAGCGTACTGTACGCATGCGTAAGGCGAGTTAATTGATGCGTAAGAAAATCAAAAAAACATTACCCCCCATCCCTCCCCCTTTCTGTGCCCCATGCACCTCTCCCATTGGGGAGGTCTGCCCACCATCCTATCTAACAGCAACCAAAAATCACATTTCCACAATCTCATCCTGGATCTTAGTCTTCTCATTATCCAGGTCCTCCACTTTCTCCACCCCCGTGAGTCCCAGGCGGTCGTAGATAGCCTGCATTCTGAGTCTATCCGCCTCGGCGATGCTGTCCATGCTGCCTCCAAAGAAGACATCAAGCTCCTCCAGGGTCTTATCCTTGGTTTCAGGTGCATACCACCAGATAAACAGACCTCCCAGTCCACTAAATATGGCGAAGAAGATGTAGGTTCCGTATTTCATCGAAGCCAGCATGTCCTTGGTGGTTAGTCCGATGACGAAGTTGAACATCCAGTTCGTGGATGCGACAAGAGACACACCACGAGAGCGAGCTGAACTAGGGAAGATCTCTTGCGCAAGAACCCAGGAAACTGGACCCCAGGAGTATGCGAATTGAGAGGCGAAGATCCAGATGAAGACGATGGCGACCCAACCTTGGGCCTTGTACAGCCCTTCGTTCAGATTCCAGTAATCCTCATAGACACCCTCGATGATAGCAACGACAATATGACAGCAGAACATGCCAATGGCACCGGCAATGAGGAAGGTCTTTCTGCCGAATTTGTCGAGGAAAAGAACAGCAGGGAGGGTGAAGAGAATCTGGATGATACCAGTGACACCCGTAGCAAGTAATGTCTGCGTAGTCGACGAGAAACCGAAGCTAGCGAAGATCTGCGGTGCTATTTAGGGGAGGGGGAGGATTAGTTCTGCCTATTCAGCGTGGGATCAGGGTAGTACTGTACCATAATACAAAATTGCGTTGATACCTGGAGGATATTATTAGTCGGGCTGGGCTAAGCATTGAACACAAAAGAGTGGGGTCCTACCAGTAAACTGCTGGAAAACCATCATTCCACAGCCGAGCCAGAGTCGCTTTCGCATATTTGGGGAAAAGAGAGCCTTCCAGGGAGCCCATTTACCTCCGACTCGGACCGCTTCGGCATTGGTCTCTTCGTCAAAGAGAACGGCGGCCTTGATTTCAAGAATCTCTGCCTTGAGCAAAGGATCTTCGGGTGACAATCTTCTCAGTTTGGAAAGTGCAGCAACTGCTTCCTCCTCGCGGTGCTTGGACATCAGCCAGCGAGGAGAGAAGGGGAAGAAGAACATTCCGAAGAAGAGGATCCAGGCAAACAGGATCTGCAAAGCCAGGGGGAATCGCCAGGCAAGAGGCTTCTGTCCCATACACGTGTGACCGTGGGCCGCGTTGTAGTCGAAGGTTCCGTCGGCCAGGTAAGGGTTTTCCACACCTTCGGGGTTGCATTTGACACCACCCACGTATTGCATACCTATCACAATCAATTAGGCAACGGTTGAGTAGCTTGTTGGAGAAGATCCTACCATAGTCCAGCCAGAAGGAGATGGCAGTTCCGATGGTAATCGAGAGCTGCTGCAGGGAAACCAGAGAGCCACGGAGTTCCGGGGGTGCGATTTCGGCTTGGTACAGCGGGATGACCTAAGTGAATATGCTTGTTAGACTACTAGCCTCTTTGAGCAAGGCATCTTTGGCGATGATAACGTACCTGACTGAGCATACCAATACCAATACCACCGATGATACGACCAGCGAAAAAGTAGGCGGGGTTCTGCGCCGCGGACTGAAGAGACGAACCCAGAGTGAAGACAATGACAGCCACCATCATACTGTATTTCCGTGAAATGGCGTCCGCGAGATATCCGTTCAAGAGCGCACCAGCCCAAGCACCCAACTCCAAAGCAGACACCAACCAACCTTGGATAGTAGAACCCATCAACGAAGGAAAGTGCGCTTTGAAGTTCTCCATGACGAGAACAGGAGCCATGACACCTTGATCGTAGCCGTACTGTTAAGAATTAGCTGAGGCTCGTCGGTGTGGGATAAGGGTAGTACTGTACCATGATACAACCAAGCGAAGCAAAGGCACAGGTCATGAAGACATAGGGATTCTTGAGCATACCAACCAAGCCATGAGGCTTTTCGGCGTTGGCTCGCCCGACCACTGACTGACTGACAACCATTTTTGCTGGTAACAAACAGGACGCTGCTAGGAAGTGAGGGAGGAAAGACGGGGCGAAGCGCGACATTATATGTGACTCCCCCGCTCGAAATTTTCCCCTGCTTTCTCCTCAAGATCCCGTTAGTCCGGATTCAGTTGGCTCGAGTCTCCATCCATCAGTGACTAATGACCTGCGCAACGCCGCAAAGGCCCATGGACAATGGCCGGGCAATTGTCGGATCAGGCACTGTACCGAATGCTCCCATCTCATTTGAAAGGAGCGGGTTGGTGAGCTAGCGCACCAGTCGCCGGCGTAGAAATCAGCCACCAAAAACCAAATTCGGGTTAGGTCTGACACATCGAGCGTTCGGCTTGTCCCCGTGGATTGAAATGAATCCCGGGGAGGGGTTTCTCGCTACCCCGGGAATGGCTACAAATTGGTTTAGGCTGCCTGATAGTGGCGCTGGGGTGGTCAGGTTTAGCGGGGCGGCGAAAACAGCAGAAACTAGCGATGTGAGAAGTCGAGATTTCTCGAGGGAAGTGGTATGATGGGACACTGGAGGTCCGAGAACTCTGCACAAAGGATCAGGACTAAGCCCATGGGGAGTTTAGCGACGAACGAAAAGTGAAGATGACCAATGTGACCGAGATGACCGAGATGACCGACTCGTGGCGCAGCCAAGGTCAGGGGGTGTGAGACAAGAAGCCATGGCAGGTGGTGCCAATGGCGCCAGTGATGGTAGTGGTGCCAGTGGTGCCAGTGGGAAGAGAAATGTAAGCTCCGATATGTGCGAGCCAAGTTGACGCCCAATGCTTGGATGGGGAGTGGCTGCCAAGAACTTAAACCTAAGTCTGGGCTCTCGTTCGGCAGTCGGCAGTCGGCACCCACTGCTTGTATTATTGCGCTGACACAAATTCTGTCAGCGACTTTGACTCTTCTTCTAGACCACTTTCGACCTAGCCTGGGGGCTAAACTAGATCATTCAGGTTTGCACATTTTTCACTAGATTGTTGTTGTCTGGGGAGTTCGAGTGGGGAGTTCCCAGTCTCTCCGGATTCCACGCGGCTTGCGTGGCCATCCATGAGGGCCCTCACGTGGCACTACCGGTGTTCTACCCCGGCCATTACAATATTTCCCCAACCCTTTCTTTCCCTGCTTGCTTACTTACAGTTGCGGCCAGCTGGACTCGGACCGCACTCCCCAAACCCTCACTGCGCTAAATAAATAAATGAGGGGAGTGTAACCTTACCATCTCCCCTATAATTGGCACAATATAGCATTTATGATGCAGGGCGCATTTTTCACCATCCGGTTTATTGACTTCCCGGTTCCGTTGTCCAAGAAGAACCCTCCAAGACCGGCGCTTAAATTTACATGCGTTGTGAGGTTCTCCGCTTTCCCGGCACCGGGGTAGCACAAAGGCAGATGATTACGTTGTTGGACCGCGTCGCATTTGAGGCGGGGTGAGCTCACGCGAAATCTAGATCTTACCGTGCGTTGCTTGTCAGGTAATCTTGGGGCCGTCTACGGTGGCAACAGTCTTGCATCAAAGCAGGGTCAGTCGGTGGAAGAGGGGCTCTCGAGAAGGAGAAGTCGGCTTATGCGCCTGACCTTTCTAAGCTGTCAGCACAACAATAATAAATTACAAGTAGTGTGTAATATGCATACAGGTGTAAATTGCGCTCTGGTCAACGCACCCTTCTAGTCTGTTATCGAACATGTCGATTTTGAGTAAGCTACTCACCGTCAGAAATTATCATCCATATTGACATTATTCAAGAGATTGGCAGGGTAAGCCAAGCACGTGATACAAGTTAAGTACCAATCCACACATCACCGCTCATCCAAAGCAGTTGTTTTTGTCCCGAGATCAGCTGGCACAATACCAAGCAACTGCTGCTCGTTCCTGTTCTCGGAACTAACCTACACACAGAGCTTGGCTGATGCCGCGATCGGAGCGGCTCGGTCCTTGCACTCCTCGGATGGGTAAGTTCTCCTTGGCATCATTTTCGGCTTTGCGATGCGATCATTCCTCTGCTTTGGGTCGCACTGCAGCGATAGGCTTTCTATCCGAGAATTAAGCGAGGGAGCTATCTGCGTTTGTTACTGAGTTCGTGAGTTGGGCCTTTTGGGCCTGATTCATGCTTGGTCAATCGAGCCTCGATACAATGACCTGTTGAAGCTATTCGAATGGCCGAGTGCCCCACCCCCTCACTCAAGCTCATAGAGTCCTTTCATGTTCTCCTCGGTCATCACGCCATTTAAACATCGCAGGCGGCACCTCGAACTGCGCCGGATCAATTTCTTTGATCACTGCATCTTGATAAGCCGACTTCACCTTTGATGTGCCGTTCAATAAGCTGTCCAAGCTGTTGAGGGTACTAAACATCACTCCAGATGAGCAGTCTCCCTCCAAGTCAGCACCGTTCAAGTCTCCCTGTATTTTTTCACCGTCGCTGCTTCTTCTACCCACGATAGAGGGGTAAGTAGAGAAGCATCTCAAATCTCCGGTCCGACACAGCCGACTAGCCACCACGTCGAACCGTTCCTCTTGCTTGGAAGGGACCTCTAGGAGAGCGGCGAGGAGCTTTTGTGCCCCTTCATTTGTGACGGCATACGCCACACTACCCGCAGCCTCGTCGATCCGACAAGCCAAGCGCATTTGATTCTTGACGCCTGCAGGGGGCTCTCTGTGGTATGACCTCAGATGTCGACTCGGAACTGCTGTTACATCATGCGGTGTCAAAAGGAAACTGGAGCCGGCCGCACACTTCATTCCACAATGTCCCAGCCAGAGGAGGTCCCAGCAATCCCCATACGGCGTTGCTGCGGATGCGTTGCTTCCCTGCATCAATCTCATACCCGATGCGAGCCCCTTTAGTTGCATCTTGAGGTTGACATCCCAGTCGACGGTTTCCTCCATGATCAGCGCGCTTGCAAGACTTTCGGCCACCACACTAAGACCAATGAGATATATGCTATGTGGTGCCATGACTGTTTGCGAGACCATACCTTTGCATAGCGTTGAGGTGTATGTGGAAAGCCCCGGTTTCTGCTTCGATTCCCTGGCGCTGTCAGTGTGATATTCCGAGAACAGTAAAGTATCCTCACCTTCGAGGGTTTCTCGCGATTGCCACGTTCTCGCGCTGGTTTCTCCATGAACTCGACATGAAACTCTCCGATCTGCGAACCCAGGGCGATCGCTTTCTGTTTGTCAGGACTGCCAGGTGTACCAATTACGATGATACGCTCGAACTGCCCGCTGTTAGCCTCGCGGAGACATTAGAGGATTGCGATACAAAGTACCCCTAAGCTCCCGTTCCTGGCCACCTCAGATGTGTTCGGATCAAAATGAGCCGAAGCAGGCCCATCGATTTCGGTACCCCCATCAAGGCAGTAGATGAGATCATATAAACACACGACAGCCAATAAAGAGGCGACGATACTTGTCAAATATCGACATCTGCGTGGCAAGTAACGACGTGAGACTTTTGTGAGTGTCATGCCTGCAGAAAAAGCTGACTTGGTGGCATGCCCCTCATGCACACCGGAAACATAACATTCTTCCCTTAAATACTATCCAGATCTTCTCCACTTCGAAACTTTCGATGAATGTGACAGTTGTGTGCTCCGGACACTTCTTCCAGTCATATCATGCGAAGTAACGCCACCCTGCCGGTCTTTTCCCGATTCGACAAATGATCAGGGTTCGACCCATGTCTAGCCCGGGAACCGGTCTACTATAGCGTCACCGGGGCCAATTCTCGATCACCAAGCTGACCCTCGTGCGATCCATGCATCTGGGAGTTTTTCAATCCGACCGCACTGTCAAGGCCCGGGCCGATAAACCATGCTATGTAACCCCAGTAAACTTCTAGGAATCAGCTATTCTGCTAGCATAACCGCGGTGATCGTTAGAAGATAAGTTACTCCGGAATGTAGGTTTCTAGGTATTCAACCTCTTGGTGGCGATGAGCGATCTTAACGAGTTCAGCTCGAAACTCTGAAATCATATCTCTCAATGAGTTTTGTGGGATTCACTAGCTCTTGCACACACTCCACCGAGGTCTGTCAACCTGTCACCGAACTCAATACGCTGAATACTAAAAGCTATTTTCTCCTGAGATATGCGATTCAACATGTCAAGGATTTCCTGGTCTAGGGCGGCAGCGGGGGCGCGGGAGACGGTTCTCCTTCAACCTATTTCTTGGTTAAAACTAGTTGAAAATCGAGGCTGACCATACTTACTGCGACAAACTAACCAGCCGATTAGTACTTTCTATAGACTTAAAAATAAGGGAATATACTTACAAACTGGACTTGTCTAGCTATATTTCTGATCTGAACTTGAGGGCAGGCTGCTCTTAAGTGGCCTTGTTGGCCACACTCGAAACATTCGCGATCCTAGTTTATTTAGTATTAATACTAAGATTTATTAGCTGGATGACTTACTTCTTAAACAGGTACTGGCATATTGACGTATCTAAATTATATGTTAGCCATTGTTATAACTGTATGACTGGGATGAAACTACATGAGATGGGACGAGACAAGACGAGACGAGATGAAATGAGCTGATGCAGGATCGCGTCTGTACAAACAGGCCCGTCCCACATGCATAGATGAGATACAAGATAATAAAGTGTTGGTGCTGGGATTGGGGATGACAAGAAATGGTAGCAGATGGGATGCTTACTCTCTAAAGTTTGATCCCCACAAACTCCTTTTGATTTTAAGCACCAATCCGTGCTCTCACTCTGCTCGAAGTTCTGGGAACATGTCGCGAAAAAGGATTATCTCAGTCCGGATGACTGCTTGCTCTTGACGGACCTGCCACATAAACTCAAGGAGCTCCTGGTGCAGGAGGGGAGGGGGGGGGCGGTGCATTAAGAGCTGGGGCGTCGGGCATCTATTCTTCCTGCTCCTATTGCTACTGCAGGAAGGACGGAGGTCATCTTGTTTGAGAGCTAGTCCATTGTTAACCCTAGTTGGACTCAAAGGCCAACCATACTTACGGCTGGAGTTTAAATGGCAGATCAGTATATACTGCAGACCTGAGAAGGATAGGAGGATATACTTACTAATTGCACCTGTGACCTTGTCCTTTGGCTTTTGAGAACTGTGGGACAATTTGCTTGGAGGTGGCCTACTTGGCTGCAATTATGGCATTCACGGGTCTAGTTTAGTGAGCACTGAAGCGTAATATGGTGATCTCGGTACTTGCTCAGCAGCCGGCAACGTGGACAAACCTCCGAGAGAAACGAGCACAAAGAATTGACGGATATAAGAGAAGGGATAGGATAACTTACCTCTTGTGTATGCTACACCTTTGGTGGAACTCGACGTCTCCCAAGCAGACGAAAGATGAAATAATCTTCAGAAATCGAATAACAAATTGGCGTTCTTGCTTAGATAATGAGAATTCGTAAGTAATTTCATTTGATGAGATGATCAATTAGCAGAAGCTTCGTCTGGTAATGAGAATTCAGACGGTCCGAATACCTAACTTGACCGTTAGCCATCGTCAGAGCCATTTGATTGACGTGAAATGGGATGAAAGGAGATCGAAGAAGATGGAGAATAATGAGACAAGACATGGAAGAGGATGGTACTCAGAACCGAGATATTTTTCGTACAGGCCAGCTTGTAGTAAAGATTGTTTTTCGGAGAGGAAGAAGACGAGGGCGAAGAGAAGAGGAGAAAGAAGAAGACGATGAAGAGCTGGAGAAAGAGGGCATGGAGGGTCTACATGAGTGGAATAGAAAAGACACCTACCTACCTTCGTTATCTACGTTGTGAATTGTCTACAATAAGCGAGCCAATGAATAAACTTACCTACCCTTGTACTGTATAGGATGAATGTCTCGACAGCCAGCGAGCTATTGGATAAGACGCCTACCCAACTTCGTTAATCATGTTGTGGATATCTACATCCAGCAGGCTAGTGATTCCAAACTGATTAGCTGTATAACGGTCGCAATGCTCATTTGGCACGCATGCCCTATGCACTGAGGTTCTACCGGTGGAGAATCCTCAAGTATACAGGGCATGAAGTGCAATCTGTCGCAACAGGACTTTCAAGCACGACAGCGCCACTGAGTGGGATGAATTTTTCTTGCCCCCCCCCCCCCCCCCCCGGCACGCTGTCGAGGAGGGCTGTCCGGCTCTTATCTGCAGGCTAAGTATACCAGACGAGCTAGTGATCAAAGTGCCATGCCTCTGTACAATTGCAGGGTTGGGAACCTGGCCGGAAACGGGGCATGTCGGCCTTCAGAGCTTCAGAGGATTTATCAGGAGTTCTGCTTGTTATGATCTTAAGTGCTTTAGCTTTTCTTCCAGGAGCCTCCTATTCTCTACTCTCGTATCACTGAATGTTTGGCTAAAATTATACATCATCTCTGAGCATGCCCCGAGCTTTGTTACAATTACCACTAATACTGTCTCTATGAAAAAGTTAAGAGTACATTGAAGCCGCATTGTGGTACTTACTCTGGACCGAAGTAATGCTCAATCCCCTCAATGCGATGAATTGCATTCCGGGCCCATATAAACAGGGAGCAGCCGCCTGTGGCCAGACGATTCGAAGCGAGATTGACCAGATACCGACCCCAACCATCCATCCACCAAGTATCGAGGATGCGGCCAATGGCGGCACCATAATAGCCGAGCAAGACAAGCGCCATGGGCTCATCCTGCATCAGCGCATCCAGAAACTCCGACTGCACCACGGCAGCCCAACGCAGTAGAACGGATGCATTCTCATTGTCGGCGCACATCTGGAGTACATCCAAGAGACTTTCGGTGGCATGCGCAACGGCAGGGGTTGTTGGTGGCTGATGGTTCGAGTCGAAGTCATGCTGCTGTCGCTGCCGCCCCTGCTGTTCTTCATGCATTTCATGCAGAAGACGGTGGAGAGCCGTCGCATGATGTTCGATGGATGTTTTCTCCTGCATTCTCTCCACGGTCAACAGACCGCGCATGCCTCCGCTTGCAATCCATGGTCGAGCCTGCTTCACCATAAAAGCCGCTCCGCGGATCAGCTTGAGGACTTCGATGACGTCCGACACGGACTGGGCTCTGGGCTGGGCGTTGGGCCCGTGAGCGGCGCAGGCGAACATGATGACAAAGCAGGCGAATGCAAAAAGAGCGTGGCAGTTATCGGGAGTCACCTGGCTGAGGAGGGGAGAATATAACGAGAGGGCGGTGTTGTTGTGGGTCATCGCCGCCTCGATATACACCTGGCGCCGTTCGATGGGGCCGTAGCGGGCAAGGTGCAGGGCCGACAATGCCAAGAGGATGTGCATCAAGAAGGGGTGGCGCAAGGCCTCTTGTGGCACAAATGTCCGCAGCACTTCCCGGGTTGATTCCTGGGAGACCAGGGTTTTCCATATTGCTACATGCCAGTGATTGAGAAGTTCGAAGTCGAGCATAGGAAGTTGTGCGCTGCTGTCTATCGAGGGGACAGCGCCTGTCGAAGGAGGCTGTGAGAGATTTTGAGGAGTGCCATCGCTGTAGAAAGAACAATAGATGTTTCTCTTGCGACAGGGGCTGCAGACAGGACGCAATTCGTCACATTTTATTCTGCGCTTCTTACAGTCGAGACACCCGTGATGCGATTTAAGGTGTGAGCGCCGCAGTGGCATCTCCTAAGTGTGGGACTGGAAGACTGCGAGGAAGAAGATTGCGGAGAACTGCAAAATTGATTATGGCCTGAGATCTGAGGCATGACAAACGGCCGCCGTAAACCATACCTTTTCGGGTATAGATCTCGCATGCACCCACAATAGAGCAGTCATCAATTGGCTGAGCCATCTCGCTTACTGTGCTATTCTTGTTCGGTAAGAAATGTACGTACCTCTCTGATGCCTTTGTATCCACTAATAAACCCCCTTTTGCAACGTCTCCATCGTTTCCCAAGAGTTTCTATCTTGGCTCACAGCTTCCTTTTCAAATGTGGAGAGCCGGTGCCTCCATTATGGAGACTAATCAATGCAATAAAAGGGCACTTTTTCGCCTATATGTCGCGGTGAGCATCTCAAGTGTTAATCATCGCTGCAGACAACAAGCAGGGACCGACCTTTGAACAAAGCAAGCAAGCAAGATGATAGAGCTCGCAGCTCGCTCAACATTTCGTTACTTCTACTACAACCCTTCCCTAGCTGCAGCAGTTATCTTCATCATCTGCTTCCTTTTCACCTCGATCTGGCACACGTATCAATTATTTCGCACCAGAACATGGTTCTTCATCCCCTTCCTCGTGGGAGGATACTGTAAGTCGCCGTCGCTTCCTTGCACATGCGCCCTCCACGCACGACAATGGCATCTGATCACGTTCGCAGTTGAATTCATCGGGTACTGCGCGCGCGCCGTCTCGGCGGAGCAATCGCCCAATTGGACGATGGGTCCGTTCCTAGTTAACTCGCTCATGCCGCTGGTGGCGCCGGCGCTGTTCGCCGCATCGATCTACATGGAACTCGGCCGGCTGGTTGTGGTCCTTCACGCAGAGCAATACAGCCTAATCCGACCCAAATGGATGACTAAGATCTTTGTGCTAGGCGACGTGCTGTCGTTCTTGCTCCAGTCCGGAGGTAAGAGCATACTTAGCCTCAGGCCACATTTGGCCTTCCCCGGATAATTATCGCCCGTGCTAACGACCGAACCCCTTCTCTTGTTGCATACAGGCGCTGGTATGATGGCCGGGAAAACGCAATCCAGCTTCAAGACGGGGTCGAACATCATCGTCGTGGGCCTCGTGGTGCAGATCGTGTTCTTCGGGTTCTTCATCGTCACGACCGGCTTCTTTCACCTGCGGATGACGAAGCAACCGACCACATACTCGCTGAGCTCGGGGATTAACTGGAAGAAGCTGGTCTGGACGCTCTACGCAGCTAGCGTCCTGATCCTGGTGCGATCGGTCTACCGGTTGGTGGAATACATCGAGGGCTTCGGAGGCTATCTACTCAGCCATGAGGCGTACCTCTACGTGTTTGACGCGCTGCTGATGTTTGCCGTAATGTTGATCTTTCATTTTGTCCATCCGAGCGAGCTGAATGCGTGGCTCAGGTCGGGTGGGTTGATCAGTAAGGGTCTGCGGTTCGAGCGACTGAATGGGGATGCGATGCAGATTGCGTGAGCGGTCTCGAGTGTTTACCGGAACACGAGTTCACATCGATTCTAAGGTGGCTCAGTACCAGCCAAGATTCCTGCGTTGCATGTCCTCGGTCTTCTCGCCCAAGCCGCTCCAGCGAGACAGCCAAGATCAAATCCTACACTAAGTTAAGATGATGCCGATTCTCTGGCAGGCAGTACTTCCTTTATTGCGTGTGTGCCTAGGTCGACTTTTCCACCACCACGGGCAATTTCTTAGAAGGCCAGGGACTGGGCATATAGTCTCTTGACACAGTCGAGAAGTGAGTGGCTTGGGCGAGAAGATTTACTGAGCGGTTTTTTTAAGACTTCGTGTGTCCGAGCGTGGTCAAAAAGCTTCATTTTCGAGGTCGAGTTTCTGCAAGGGCGATACTGTTCATAGATGGTGCTGCGTGCCAGGTACTTACCACGATGACTAATAGCAAGGATTAGATGGGTGGAGGTATTGTATCCAAGGAATAGATAAAGCTCCTGCGAGGGAAAGTGATATCGACATTGTAGAGTAGGGCTGAGTATTAGGGGAAGATAGTTACACTAACGAGCAAATTATCTGCAAACAGGAAAGTAGATGACAGTCTAATGAAACCCAAGATATGACCTCATAAAAACGAAAGAGAAAGAGAAGGGGGTATGAATATATGCTTCAAACACGGACAAATTGCAAGACCGTAAGCCCGGAAACCAAATAACCGAGAGCTTTCTTTCCCATGCACTAGCTTTTTTTTTTTCCAAACCGAGAATCCCATGCACGCTTTTACCGAAATACCGAGAACCCAAGTATTATATCGACCACACACTCAGGCCCATTTTCCGATCAAAGCCATGATACCAGCACCGAACAACATGCAGAGGACCATGAAAGTCAGGCGCTTGTTGTCCTGGGTGCGGTGAGGGTCGAACAGGAAGTCCCGGGCCATTAGCTCCACCAGGCCGGTGTAGATCAGGATACCGGCGGAGATAGCATCGAGCACACCGGAGACCACGTTGGCCGTGAAGGAGCCCGAGTTGTACGTGGTCCTGAGTCCGAGACCGATCGCCACCGAGATAGGCGTGGTCAAGCCATACAGGGCACAGAGCACCCAGGGGAGCCAGCTGCCCTTGCGGAAGGGGATGGCAGACATGCGGGCGCCGATACCGAGACCCTCGAAGGACTGATGGAAGACCAGAACCGGGTACAGAGTAGAGAACTCATCACCGACAACACCCAGGTTCAGACCGATGATGACAGAGTGGAAGATGACGCCGAACTCCAGGATCAGGAAAGCGGCGATCTGTTGCCTGAATGATCTCTCGATCCAGGCCTCGCTGGAGGTCAGCGACTCAGCGTCGGTCTCATGCTTGCGCCGGCTGGTGGCGGCATCCTTCGTGACGGAGCTGTTGTCGGCGGCGCTGGTCATGATGGGCTCGGGATCCTCTCGGCAGATGCCGTACTTGACCTCGACGTAGCGCTCGGCGCCGAAGTCGAGGAGGAAGATGCACATGAGCGAAGTGAGAACGATGGCGGGGCACCATGAATAATCCGCCCAGTGACCGGTCATTCCGACGCAGGTCTGCGGGCCGATCTCGCCATAAGCAGGGTCGAGTAGATGGATAAACGCCGTGGCGATGATGACACCTGCACCGAAGTACCGAGCGAAGAGGTAGACATATAGGGGGATGTGCAGGCGAGGGACGCGCTTGGCAATCACAGGAAAGAAGGTGACTGCGGTCGAGACGATGAAAATGACGAAGATGGCGGAGATACGCGCCCCTAGGTGTCCGTTGTACTCGTTCTCAGCGGCATTCAAGTAACAGATCACATCGACTGGGTCGGCAGTATCGAGATCGACGTCGTTGGGGTTGAACGACATTTTGAATATGCCTCGGAGGTCTATGCGAAAATCTAGACAAAGGAAGCTTGTTTAGGAAGAGATTTTCTGCTCTGATTGTCTTTCTGAGCCGAGTCCGAGCCTCTCTTTATATGGAGATATCGCTGACGATGGTGGGCACTCCATGGGGACCTTGTGGAATAGTTGCCCACACTAAAGGAATAGATTGCATTGTGGTCTCACGCGATCCAGATTTTGACAGAAAAGACAAGGAATTCATGACCGACACTGGGTTTTATTTCGGCTCTTTGCCAAACTTGAAGATTTTTAAGATGGTGATGTTTCTCTTCAGTTGTGAAAGAGGAATGAACGAGGAAGGCTGCGGTTGAGGGAGAACATCGGCAGGCCAGCAGTGTTGGCCTGAGGAACAAAACCACGAGGAGCTGACAGCAACCACCGGACAATCTCCGCCGCCACCTTTCTTCTTGCCATCCAACTAACTTCAAGAGGCCCCACCCACTACACTTGCCTGTAGTACCTTGTGAGCAAAACAGGCACAGGCCAACAAGGAGCGTGGGATAATAATCTCGCCTACTTAGCTACAGCCACTGATTGATACGAAAGGCCCCATCGGTGCCCATCGGTGCCCACTTGGTCCTCTCCTCTAAATCTCACCCAATGCTCTTACTGCGTCATACGCTCGGGGAGATTTGGCTGACTCGATGCTTTTCAAACAGGTCCCCAATTAGCGCTTCACCGGGACCCTGACAGGGACTATCGCCATTGCATAGTTCGTCTCGATATTAGTACGTTGGAGGGGTGCAATCTTCTCATCTCCACTCGCAGAGGGCAAGTGGTCGTGGTCCTTTCTCAAACCAGGGATACGGCTCTCGGAATCGCATGGGCAAACAACTAAGTGTCACTGAGTCGAATAAACAAGCAGGGAACAAGACTGCCCTGGCAGATGGAAAGTCCCAAGTTCTCCCGAGAGCCACGCGCTCAGTGCCGCACTGTCACTCCAAACTCTCCGACGGCTACCCACTTGGTCTCGGGCCAGAAGCCTATTGTGTCCGGTTGAGCATAGACTTTGACCAGGACCGACACCAGTTCAGTAGCTTGCATCGGGTACGGCGCTAGCATGCTTTCCATGATTCTGATCTATCGACTGTTGTGGATACCTTACTCAAGTTATTGCCGAAATTTAGCGAGGTGACGCCAAGGGAAGGTCTTGTTCACTGGGCAGGCGTCGTTACCCTCGTCCGATCAATGCCAAGAGAACGTATACTCATTGTTCGTTGCATACACAACTGACATGGCATGCCGATGGCATGTGGACCGACACAACGTGGTCTGCAGGGTCCCGTTGCATGCATTCAGAATGTACGACTCTAGGGGATACCTGACAGACTACGGTAGCTCAATGACTACAAAAGTTCGCAGACGGTCTAGAACGATCTACGGTTTAGCAGTTGAGGACATAACAATTATACTATCGAAAGCTATCATACGACATTTCCGGCACGATCATACATCGAAAATTCCCATCCGCGTGGTTGTCCATTCATCGCCTTCGCACCAGTCGACGATTCAAGGTGTATGATTCTCGGAACCGGTGAAATTGACATGTCGGCTCGGATGACTAGTGCATCAATGCGATGGAGGCCGGAGTAGAGCGACATAATCGAGTTTAGTGCTAAATACTCTGGTTAGACACTCGAATCGACAAACAATGAATCAGGGAAACCAACGCTGCAAGAGCTGCAGGAGCAGCTAGAGCAGTTGCCGGAGCAGCAGTTGCAGGAGCAGGGAGACATGTTGATTGATGAGAGGAAGGCCTAAAAGCGCTTGAAAAGAGGTATGTTTGGAAGTGGTTTGATTTCTTTGATAAAGAGTCTGATATGCTTGATGATGGAAAGGAACCACAGGAGTCCAGCAAAACACGCGCCCTATTTATACCTTTTCTGAGGTCCTCTCTGCCCGATTTCCGGCGGCTTTCGCGGTCAGTTGCCGGTCAAGGATCATGATGCCACTCATTGCATCGGTCTTGTTGGCAGCGTGGGGGGCAATAAACAATGCAGCGAACCAGCGTAGGCATTATGATGAGAGGAACTTTTTGCATGTAGCGAGTCGAATAGCATCGCCAGGCTGACTTGACCAACCACCTGACCCTCATGGGCTGACTTCTTCCTTCTCCACCCAGTCCAACAAGATTGAAGGCCTAAAGCCACGCTAAGAGGTCAGTTACCTTGCCATCACACTGGGTGGATTCGTATCCAGCGCGGACGGGAGCGGAAGGGAGGAGAGGGGGTGTGGATGATCATTATCATCTACTCCCTTCATTTCCATCCCATTCACCCCATAAGAACGATAGAGACAGGAAAACAAACAAAGCAGAGAGAACCTTTCCAAAAAGAATTGCTGAGTGTGCTTGAGATCCAGGATTCTTATAAAATGGTGGGTTGTGGGTGAGCACCTTGAGAGCATGAGCACCTTGGTGGCTCTCCGGCCTCAAGGTCCTCGAACCCTCACCAAACACTCCGAGTTTTCACCCTCACATTTCCCTGCTCTCCAACCACCTGCAGTGGCTTAGTTCACGCATGAGAAATCAGAGTTTTCACACTCTCCAAAAGTGATAAACACAAATACTCACTATTTGGGTCTAGTTGCAGAGGTTCCTTATCCCAGCTCATGTGTCTCCTGAGGACTACCAGCAGGTATGTCTCCGACGCTAGACCTCATGATATGGCCAGTCGCTTGCCAGATGCACCTGAATCAACATGAACTGACTCAATCAAGTGGAGGTATCTGAGCCATACACCGTTATCACCTGAGTATAGCACACTCCAAGTTCCTTTCTTCCCTCACTCTGCCCCCACCCCCCATCGGCCATCCCCGGCGATGATATACCCATTCCAATTGCCCATGCGCCCCTAGATTCAATTTTGGTTTCCTTTTTGTGTACAACTCTACGTACTCCAGAGGCTAAATAGTGAGATTTTTGGTCGATGCTTGCAATAGCCGGTTCCCACCCTTCTCTGACGGCGCCTACCGGAACCCCTCTTGACTTCATCAACCTTAATCACCAATGCCTCAGTAAAAGAAGACCCAAGAAGTCACGTTTCTCACATCCGTAAGCCCTTTATCTCCCGATTCCAAGACCAAAAGCAAGGTAGCGAAGCAGCTAGAGTCGATCGCCCCCTACCGTACGTTCCCTACCACACTCTACACACCATATACACCAGAAAGTAACCACACGCGAACCCAACCCGCTGTCTTCCTTCCAACTAGTCCCAGAATAATATGACCTCTTTCTAAGAACTGAACAATAACATATACTGTTGCGTAGATCATATCCTACACTTACTCCATCGATCCTCTCTCAACCAACTGAAAGGAAAGCCTGCTAAAAGCACCCTCAAGTCACTCAACAATGAAAGAAGCACAGAGAAAAAAAAGCAAAGAATCTTACAAAGAGGCATACCTACCGCCGCCCCCCCCCCATCCACCCAACAGGAAAGTAACTCAGAATTCTAAGATGAGATACCGGAACAACGACAATGAGCAACACAAATGACTCCAAGTCCAAGTCTTAGCACATCGCTCTCAGCCCACGTATCCCTAGCACGAGACCATAATCGAGCACCACTT